AGCATTTTTTTCTGTCAGAATCTGCAGATATGGAGAACAGTACAGCTTTGATGAAGGGAAACTCAAGTTTTAGTTTCTGTAATTAAAATCAGCTCCTGGGACTTTGAAAAAATGCAAAGAAATAACAGCAATAGAGAATGCGTTGCAGGGACCCATCGCCTCCGGCTAGCAACAAGCCAGCCTTCATGATTTTTCCCATTCCTCTTGCCGTTCTTCTCTTCCTCCACTCAAATTAGATTTTTTTTCCCTCACAGGAGGATTCAGGAGCATGTAAGAGTGGGAGTGTGGACATATATGTGTATGGCTTTTAGAAGGAGCTGAGGGCTGACGGACAGATGGATCTAAGTCCTGCGGTCAGGCATTCAAAGTATCACATCCTTCTATTTTCAGCTGACTCCTTGTTGCTCCCAGTTGCATTAAATAAAGTGGAGCCTAGAACAAGGAAAGGCCGGGGTGTTGCTTCCTGAATTCCCAACACTTTGTTCCCTGGAAACTCTTCATTTGCAAGAAATGTCACAGTTTCTCCAACTGCGAGCGCACAAGGAGCATGAAGCAGTTTTGAGACCAAAGATTGACGAAGTTCAGTCTGGTTTTAGCAGATTATCTTTATAGAAGTGGTGTCTAGAAATTGTGTTGTTCAGTTTGGATCTGTTTACCCAACACATTTATTTTTTCCTCTGGTTTTCTTGGATTTTCTCACACACATAAAAAGCCAAAGAGGGTGGCTCTGCCCGTGGGCCTCCCTTTGTCAGACTGTGATTTTTTACCCCTTATATATAAGGAGGAGCTATATGTGGAGTCTGAGATACAGAGCCTCAGGCCAACTAATAAACACACACACACACACACACACACATCTACGTTACAGTTCAGATGGAGTTCATTGTGTGCTCGATGTTGCCATCCTGTTCCCGAGGAGCCGTTCGTGTTCTTACCAGCGAGCCCCTGAGAAAGTTACGTTCCAGATGCAGTTTTCCATCGTAACTTTCTCATTTTTGAGGTTTTAGTTTTCAGCACCAATTCTGATTTGTTATTAAGAACCATAAAACAACATTTAATAGCAAGATTTAAAATATTGCTTTCTAACTTTCCTGACACTAATTAGGTAAATAAGGAGGAAGGGACAATGTCTTGCCTCGTGTTAGTTTGGAGACAGGTAGTGTAAAAGATAGTTGTATTTTAAGAACAATGATAGACTTTACAGAGTTGAAATTTTTAACTTTCTTCAGGATCTAATATTACCTAGTGTGGTCGGCATGTACTCTGAAATATCTCGTTCTGTCTCTGCCTAAATGAACCGTGAACTTGTCTTAAAATATTACAGAATATTGTATTGTAATATTTATAATAAGTTTGGTTCCTGTGGTTTCAAGCAATACCAAAACAATACCAAATTTTATTAAAAAACGGTCTTTATATTTAGTTTTAATTTGGACCAAACTCCAAACTCTTATGCCTTTCTTAAAAGGAGAAAGAAGAGAGAGTGTTTTTAGTTTCATATGACAGACAAAAGTTTTTGTAAGTTTGTGTTTTGTCTACAGCGTCTTTTGACTGTGAGGTGCCTCAGGGTTCTATACTAGGAACCTTTTTTTCTATCCATATCTGCTATTCTTGGGTTCCATTTGGAGGGAACTCAGTGTTTCATTTATTTACAGTGGCACTGGCATCCTATTTGAAGGTTCTAATAAATAGTTCAATATGTAAAACATTTGTATTAATGAAAACGTAACTGAAAACGTTACACTCACAAAACATTCAAATACAAACTACGGTTTGGTAAACTTTTGCTCCAAAATAGATGTCTTTGCAGTCGCATTACAAAATAGGTCTGTGCGATATGTGCAGCCTGGATGCAGAACTCAGTAGGATATTATGTTTCAGATGTCTTGCATTCACGCCCTGCATGTCTATTGTATATTTAACCAGATGAGTGAGCTCAAACTGGCCTCAATGCTCATGCCTGATGTGTATTTTGAGTGACTGAAATAATAAACCTCACACACGGTAGTAAACACATTGTGTAGAGTCACAGGAACGTTCGTTAATCTTACTGTTTTGAATGCAGTTTTGAGCAATGTCATCAGTTACTGTGCATATCGTCTTGACGTTGTGCAGCCACAGTTCTCCTTGTTAAAACATAAAACCATATTCTGCTCTGAAAGTCCAGGGCTGTTTTAAAGTTCCTTCTTTAATTTGGACTCCATCTGATCACCTCTAGTACAAACTGTAAAATACTTAAACGTGAACTGGGATTATTTCATGCTGGGAAGAGATTTATTAAAACCCATAACTTCAACATTTATTCAATTTGAGCACATAAAAGGATCATTACCCTACTGTTTCTGGCATTAGGACCACCTTAAACAGGGTCCTGCTTGAAAACTGCAGTACTTAGAGAAGTGAAATCTTGAATGAATGATTATACTGATTAAAAAGTAGTTTATTATATGTTCAACTTTTGCTTGTCAAAGCAAAAAGCAGTAATTCTGAAAAATGTCTTCCTAATGTCTCCTTCTATTACATCCTCACATCTGCTTGAAATCAGGCAGTTGTACTATTGAGTTGTAAACTCTATACATACTTAAAATAATCAGCAGCTAGGAACAGAGAGAAAGCAGAAATAAGGACTTTCCCTTGCTTCTTATAGTTATAAATCCTTGTCTGGCACACGCTTTGCCCAATTAAAGACAAATGAACAGCAAAACTAACAGCAAGGTCGATAAGTCTGTATTTCAGCATTTAACGTTCTGCTCTGGAACAGGAATCTGAACTATGTCTGCATTTACTATATTCCAGCTAGACTGTTTTCCCCATTAATCCCTCGAACTGATCCAGTTCTCCATCAGTTTGTCATCACCCACCTTCGTTTGGCCTCAAATGTGCCACTCAGGACCAATCACACTCCCACATTTCAGTCAATCTGACGCCTGCTCCTTCAGAAGCTGGCAAACAAACTTGTTGGCATGCCGACTGCCGCTGTCAGAGTCCCAAAAAATAAGGCGGAGCGAGGGTGGTGCCTCCTGACCCACATATTGCAACACCCATACCTGCACTTTAAAAGCCGAGCACTTAGAAGGATAATGAACAAATATACACTTTAATCAAAATCCTGCATCTTTAAACATAATTCCCTTTTCTTATTATGATTTTGAGATGGGTTTTTAAGTCACCACATTTTATTCCTCTTTGTGTACTTCACATCTCCTCCCAACTACAACCCAGAGATGTCTTGTTCGACAAAAAAATCAAGAAGTAAACCAAATTATTAGTTGTGGAGGTCATTAATATAAACATCACCTCTGTGAATTAATAAGATTGAATCTACTAATTTAGGACTGAATCTGTGTCCAATACGTCTGCCCACTTATTGCCACTTTTTTAATCACCGAAAAGGTTTTCTTGGAACTTAAACATTCAAACACACTTGAGATTTTCAACAAAGACCCTAATTTGGAAAGTATGGATTGGGAACTGGATTCAGCCTGAGCCAATCATCATCTTGAGTTTACTTTAGCTGTTCCTCTGCCACTTCCGTAATCCTTTGGCTCCAAAACTATTTATAGGATGTTGATGTTGCGTAAAGGAAGGAAAGAAGGATTAAAGTGGGAGACGTGGAGGAGAATAAGCGAGCTCTTTGATATTGCTGGCAGAGTCAGGAAATGATTAGGCTGCTACAATAACGCCAATAATGACAATAGAGAAAACATGTCTGCAGCCACAAGCACTTAGTGTCAGGAACTCTGTATGGTTCCCATTTCTATATGAATGCAGGGGAATATGGAAGTTTTTAAGTGTTTCAGAGTCGTTTCAGTCGAAGCAAACCGAACATTTACTCCTCTAGCTACTTTGACTCATTGTTGATATAAGTGCTTCATATTTAAGACTGCTTTAAATCTCCAGTGCCAGTAAACGCGAGTACATGCAGGTAGCATTTTTTTAATTGAACTTCTAATGTTGATTCAAGCTGATTATGCTTCCTGATCAAGATTAATACATTTTCTGAGCTTTTGCGCCCACCTGTGAAAGCACAGGGGTCAATGCTGATGTAGCCACATGCTATCTGTGCGTGAGCTTGTCTAAACATGCTATGTATCAAATAAATGTTTAAAAATATTAGCAATTTACCAATTGAATATTCTCTCTTTTCCCCCCTAAATGATAGTGTTGCTTTTTAATTTATTTGTAAAGTGTTTTGAATGCAACTAACTATAACTTACAAAATTTTGTCACAAAAATACACTAAGATGCTTTTAAAGCAATTCACCAATATTATCTTTAGCTTTCAGGAACCGACTGTGTTTTAATCTTTGAAAGCAGATTTCTTAAAGTAACTTGACAAACAGATTTGCTCAGCTAATTATGTTCTGCCAGACAGGGTAATGCTGTTAGCTTCACTGCTGTGCCTCATTGTCCTCATGTTTGCTTTGGTAAGCAGAGAAAACACCATTTTCAGTCTATTCCTCAACTGTTTGCTCTGTTTTCTGCATGTTTTTAGCTGCTCATCTCCTTACTGGTCACTTGAATTGGCCTCAGTTCTCACAAAACTGTCTTTTAGTGGGGAAAAAAAAAACATCTCTGTAAAGTAACAGCATATAAATTGATGCATATCAGCATTTGTACAGCAGTGATTCATATTCCTGCTTCAGCATGGGATCTTGCAGCAGATGGACGTTGGCTTGGGGGCAAATAATTTATTTCCTCATCCCTTAGCAGCACTCCTGCTATATATCACTGCGTTCCTCCTCCATCAGCTGCAGAAATCTTTTTACCAGGAAGGCAGAGTTTCGAGTTGAATCCACGATAGTGTGAGACGGGAGCGATGGGGGCTCGGAGTCAGTGTGTGAAACTTGTGAAATAAAATCTAATGCATGTTGTAAATTCACCACTTTATTTTTTAAAGCTCTTTTCATTATTTTAGGAATAAAAAGTCATAACCCCTCCAATCTGCTTGTCTCTGACATGTTAATTTAGAAGACTTGTTCCTCTCTATTTCTCTGCAGGGCCTCCAGGAAAACGCGGACGCGTCGGAAGAAGAGGGGAACCTGGTAAGCAAAATCCATCACCCATTTCATTTCGTTCTCTCCTTCTCCTTCTCTTTCATCACTCACTCCTTCTTTTCCCAGTAAACGTCTTTCCTTTTTCCGGGTGAGCAGACGGGCTCTAGTCGAGGGCTGGTACAGGCAGTGATCCATGACTCAGGTCACAGGATGGTGGGCTGCTTGTTCTTCTCGTTGTGACCTATCATGAGCCAGCGTCGTGTTAATTTCCACCATGTGGCTGCGGTAACTTTGCCCAGATGTCAGTCGATGTCGCTGAGCGGTAGCAGCTGCAGCCGATCGACCCTAATGAGTCTCCATCGCCAGCATCGCTTCGACGTTATCGTTTCGTTTCTGTCCAAACCACTGAATGCTCATTATGAAACCAATGCCGTGACTCTTGCCAAAAGAAAGGTCACCGTGACAGATGTTCTGCAAGTTTGACTCATCTTGATTTTAGATGTTTCTTAGGATGTGGAGACTCTAAAAACAGAATTAGATCATGATATCTCATACAGCAGGAGTCAGTGGGGAAGATTTCAGTTTACCCATGAGTCATTGTTGTGGATGAGTAACAGACGAAAGCCAAACTTATGAATATGATGCTTGAGTAATACAGATCCCTCTGACAGCACACATCGAGGCAATGCTGCAGTATTGTGCAAATGTTTTCAACCAGTACTAATTTCTTCATATTCTACCTCCAATTAGAGGGGGAAGAGCTGAACGTTTGTCTTGTGATCACTCAGAGAAGTCAGGTTCTCCAGACTGTTCAACGACTTGATTTAAAGGCCAGTGTGTCTTCCTGTGGCCTGCATTTGGTTCATTATACAACTTCAATGTGTACTTGAACAGAAGAAGCGTAAAAAAGAAAGAAATCAGAACAGCTATTCACAAACGTTCACATAGATGGAGTGAAAAATGTGCATTTAAAAGAGCAAAAGAGGTGTTTGTGTCTCTTTTGATTTTGCTTTGATATTCTGATTAAACTACAGCTAATAAATCATTTTATATCATAACATGTATTGAAATGGTCGAGCTTAGAGTCTATTTATGCTCTGGTTCAAGCTTAAGACTTCCCCATTATCTACTCATTTTTTGCACTCCCTTTATGTGGACGTTTGTGATTTTTTTTTTTTTTGTTTGGATTTTTCTTGGTTTACACTTCAACCTGGCCTCTAGGTTTTGAAAAATGGTTCAAAAAATACACCATGAGGAAAATTATAACAAAGTTCCATAATAAAAATGTGATGTATGTAAAATCAATCTAGCGTGTGAATGAATTACAGCCACAGCCATAATAATAGTGTTTATTATTTGTAATAATCACTATTTTTTGAGGTGTGGGGCAAATAATATTCTTTGCCAAAGCAATACTGGCTTATAGTTTAAGTCTAGAAGTTGCACAGCATAGCAAACAAAAAACAAATTGAATGAAAATGAACAAAAAGCAGCCAAGCTACAAAGAAAATCTTTACAAAAAATGCCAGGGGAACTTGAACTGACTCCAGAAATTTAAAAGAAATGAAGGATGACCCAAGAGTTTTGCAGTGTATCAAAATATGCACAAGTTGTTGTTTCCAATCACATAATGCATTCGTCTTGTTTCTCTCCTTAAATGTAAACACACAAAACCTTGGTAGTGTTCCCAAAACAGCTGGACATGGTTATTTTTGGAAATGGCTTCTAAAACAAGATTTCAATTTGTCATGGCTTCTTTTCAGCTGCAGGTTTTGGAGTAGCAGTGAGCAGGATTAACGTTTCTCTGACAATGATCCGGGCCAGCGTTCTGTTTGTTGAAACTGCTGGCATGAAAACTGCAGAACATCATCAGACCCTTTCCAAAACTTTAATTTACTGTTTATTGTTCAGATTATATCTTAATCATCTTAGTGTATTTCTAAATCAGATGTTTGCCATCTGCTTGGTGTTTTACAGGGGGATTTAGTACATTTAGTCAAAAAGCGGGCTGTTTCTGCAGAAGCTCTGTGTGGTTCTGTTTAGGTTCTGTCTTTGTATTTCTGAGTTTTTTGCCGCTAGATTTCGTTTGCAGCTTAAGGGTGTGGGTTGCTCCTATGGAGAGATTGTTGCACCATGCTCTGTCTCCATGACAGCCAAACCTCTGTTTTACAAGACCAGAATGTTTTTCTGTCAGAAACTGAAAAGGAAAATAAATGAGAGTGCATAAGAAAGACAGAAAATTCAATCGTGAGAGACAGGAAAGCGTTCAGACGGATTCGTTTAGCGTCTTAAATCTGAGCTCGTCATCTGGTGTCCTGCTCCGGCTCTCCCTGATCCCTTTCACTCTTGTTTTACAAACTGTCCTCTCTTCCTATTGTTCTTTTCCTTTCTCTTTATTGTGCACACACAAACACACCTGCCTCACGTTTAGAGCACAAAGCTGCTCTGACTGTGAGGCTCTTTAACCAGAGTGTGTGTTTACTTTGCTGTCTGACTCAGGAGGTCTTTATCAAACAGTCTGGATGCAGCTACGGTGCCTTGCAAAAGTCTTTACGCCTCTTGAAATTTTCAACAATCTGTCACAATGTTAATCCCAAACTTCAGTTTACCCTATGGTCCCTTTATGTAATCGATTAATGCAACTTTTTCTTGAATATAAAGTGGAATAAAAATCATATGTTTTTGTTTGTTTTACAAATATAAATCTGAATTTCAACTCCATTTTAAGTCCCCTTTAAATTCATACCTCTAGTGCAAAGTTTAGTGAACACTGGTCATCTAACAGCCTCATGAGAGAACAAGAGAGGCATCCAAGAGGTCCATGGTAACAATGGACGGGCTGCAACACTGACAGCACAGTTATTTGTTGTGCACTTCACATCTCGTCTCCACGCAGAGAAACAAGAAGAAAAGTTTGCAGTTTGCCATAAGAATTGCAAGTGAAATTAAGGTAGATTAAGTAGATTATGGTGTTCTGGTCAGAGGAGAATAAAAATGAACTTTTTGTCCTGCCTGCATAATGCTCTTTGAAGAAGAATACTATCCTTACACTAAACACACAAGCATTACAATGAAACAGCACCATACTGTCTTGATGTTAAGGTGGATCTTGATTCCTACAGAGCAGTACTATTGGGAAAACCTGATACCCCGAAAGATATACCCCAGAAAAATATCAACCCCAAAAGATTGAGGCACTGAGGGTTCCTCAACTTTCAGGTTCTCCTGAGTTAAAGATTTCTTCTCATAGCTCGATTATGTGCTACTTTAAGTTATGTAACACTATTAAAATAAAGTACAATTAAAAGAATTTGAAGAAGTTTAAAAGGGGTTGAAACTTTTGCTTTACTCTGTAGACTTGACGTCTCTAACACATCTTTATTCACCCTTCCTTTAATTTTCCACATCTTCCAAAATTTACCAATCCTGGTATCTTTAATTTGTAAAGGAAAACCTCAGATATTGTCTTGTCTTCCTGCTCTCAATGTTATGTTGATTTTTTTATTGGTGGCCTGATGCTTATGAGCTCTGAATTGGTTCATACACTGTGACTGTTTCACCAATCAGATAAATCAGCATCCTCATGAGTAGAAAATCAAGTCCAGACACTTAAGAAAGTACATTTCAAAAAGAATACCTTAATTGGCACAATAATACACTCACATTGTGGAGGTTTATGTGTTTTAACAGGGCCCTCAGCCCCTGCCTTTCCTTAGATTTAATTATGATCGCTGAGAAAAGGGGGAATTCTTTGATCGTTACTGTTGCTTTTGGTTAAACAAACTATGAAAAACAGAAGGTATGTTTTTTTGCTGCCGATGCTCAACATCTGAGAGTTTCAATCACAAGTGAAAGGCTACCCTGTAGGAATGTCAGAGACATCCAGTTTGCTCTCCTAAAAGAGAAGCATGGTTTTCTTGACCTTTTCACTCAACGCTTGTCCTCCATCCTCTTGCTCCCACATCTTCCTGAGAAACAAAGCCTTGACATGACTTCATATTCCTAATCTAAAACACAGCTCTCGTCGAAGTCTGTTTATCATAACGGCTTCGCCACAAACTGCGCTGGCAGCAGCTCTAATGAGCTTCTTCTCTGCCATGTTCAGGGGGTTAATTATGGTCATTATCTAACCAACCACATGGCATGGACAGGATTTTTGTTGTGGGTACTCCACAGAGGAAGTGATTGGTGTACAAAGCGGAGGTTGCTCTCAGTCACACATGCTGTGCTTCATCTGTCAGAAAACATGTAACGTGCAGGCTTTCTAATCCCTCTCCCTCATTTCTCTTCTCTGTTGCAGGGCCTCCTGTAAGTATGCTTTCATCTCGTCCAGGTAGTATTGAATTCATTTCAGGGGTTTTGACCTTAGCCATGCACACACATCACACGTGTCATTCCCGGCTGCACCGCTGGACAAACTGCAAGTCAAACCAAATATGAGCTCTTCTCCCACAGCAATAAAACTTGAATGTAAAGACCACCTACAGAAGTGTGTGAGATCTCCAGGTGGTGTGTGTTGATGATGGTTATAACCAACAAAGGTATCGTAACTGCTGCCAGCACAGTCTTCGCCTCTGCACTGGACACATCGTGATCTCACCAGGAACAATTTTCAAAATTTTATCCTTTATTTTTATGCTGACATGTGGCTCTGATCAGATGTGCAGAAGCGATTATTGGCTTTGAAAACCACCATGACGTTTTCTGGAAACATGGAGACAGATCAAACTGGCCTGGAAGAAGTTACTCGAATCCTGGGAGTAGTTTGATTGGAAGAAAACTGTCTGGGCAATTGGTTTTGCACTAAACGCTCATGAAATAATGTAGATTTCTACAGAACATGTACAAAAGAATTGAGTTTAATAAATTTCCCTGAAGGTGTAAAAATTAATAGCCTGTCAGCGCAGAATAAAGTATTATTGAATTGACAATGAAACAGCCACAAACATTCAGTTAAATGTAAAGGTTTAAGAAAAAGGTAAGAAAGGATAAAAAAAAGCTCATACTTCTTTAAGTTTTCCATATTTAATCACATTATAGCCATAAACTTTGCTGCATTTTATTGGAATTTTATGTGATTGACCAACACAGTGTATCACATGTTTGTAAATGAAAGCAAATGCATGTCATTTCTTGTTACAAATACAAATATGAGTTTGCAGATGTGCCATAATCTTTCCATTTTGACCAAATAAGCAACATAATTGACTGCAGAACTGCTAAACATCTTTTTTATTATTATTATAACTGTGGTTTGAAAATTCTATACCTTTTTCTTTCAACATTACAATTTAGTGCTGCTTTGTGCTTTTCTGTCATGAAGACCCAACAAAAGAAACATTTCAATGTGAAAACTCCCATGCAGACATAGTGATTTGATGTAAATGCAATGTGTTGTGTTCAGCTGCTGATTTTTTGTTCAAATTTGTCTCACTGCTTCTTGCTTTGACATCTAACCTCACCAGGGCAAGGTTGGACGAGATGGATACCCGGTAATTTGGATTTTATTTCTTTCATCCTCCTTCACTCCTCAATCCAGTCTCTGCTCGGATATCTTGGGATTTTCCTTTCTTTTTTTTTTCTTTTGAGCTTTTACGTCTATGAATTGGCTGTTCTTTCTTTTTGTACATTTTAAAAGTTGTTAACCATGTAGCATGTGTATCCTGCCCCATTTCTAAGAAGTGTGTAAAATGAAGACATTTACATTCACACATGGCCAAATTCAGACATCTTAGGACAAGCTGATATATCTATAGAATATATGATTTTGATATGAATGAGATATCTATAAACACAAACCAAACAGGTGACAAAGTGGTCCTCAAACGCGGTGACCCTTCTGATTTGCCCTGTAAGATAAACATCCAGTTTTGTTGTTATCCAGTGAAATAGCGGCCTCTAGCGGCGAGTTCTGATAAAGCTTAGCAACTCATCCATCGTCTGTTGATGGTTTGTGGTTTGCCCATCATCAAATTCTCATCTTAGCGCTCCTCCTGGGGTACCGATCCGTGTGTGCCGCTCGTCTCCTGTGAGTGTTTAGGTCGTCATGGTGACCGTGAGCAGTCACCTGTTGCTGTGCTCCGCGGGGCCCAGTCGGTTCTGGCGGGGCGCTGCTCTCTGTCTGTCTCCCACCGGGGGTTTTTTTGGGGCCTGGCCCTGGGGGCACATTCCCATGCAGTCCCGTCTGGCACTGCGCAGCTCTGCTGACGGGAAATGCTCGCTGCTAATTGCACACAGGTGGACAGAGTGTACAAATAAATGTGTGCACATTTGTTTTCCCTTTTTTTGTGACTCTGATCCTCTGTGCCACTGTCTCCTTTGGAAATGCTTACTGTGTAACGATGTTTGGATGGGAATTGTGTACTGGAAGGTGGTTATTCTGGATAAGCTGTCCCAATTTAGGACACAGAATGCAATCAATCTGTTTGTGGTGTATCTGCAGATAGATGAAATCATGTTGCAACTGGAAGAGGTTTGTTTGATGCCTTTATAGGGCATCTTGCTTTTGAGTGAATGAAAAATTTACGTAGATTAATTTTTCTGACAGTTTCCATGGACAGAAAATGATTTTGTTTAGTAGTAGAGATGTTTGAATTTCCGTCAATGCAGCTTAAAAGTGACCATTCTCCCTAATGTGGAGGCTGTTTGTGCAGCTATCCTTGTCTGAACTTCCTCCAACCACTTATAGTTACTGCAGATACAGTGCTTCACAGGCCAGAGGGGTTAATACATTATTAGACCATTTTACTCATGTTCATGGCGCACAAATCACTACAAACAACTCAAGTGATTCAGTAAACTCTACTGTGCCAATAAAAGCTTTCATTTTTTAATTGTTTAAACAAATGGAGAGATTGCATTCTTCCATCATGCATGTTGTGACTTTCTGAGTTATTAAATCAAATCACACGTGAATAATTTATAAATATAGCCTGTTACCATGTAGCCAGGGGTGAGTACATGTAAATACATTATATGCTACTAGATACAATGCAGAATTAGACTTTTCCTGGCATTCTGTAGAATATAAATGTTAAAATACAATGTTTTTCTTAATTAAAAAAAAACATCTGAGGTTATGTATTAGCTCAATTAATTTTTTAAAGAAACTTGAACTTCATGCCTTTTCCGAAGCAAATGCATGAAGAAGTTGTTAGTTTAATATCAGGAAACAAAATCTCCACAATAGCTATGTTTATGGTGAAATCCCTTTTGTGTCAAACTGTAAACATTGAGATCAGTATTTCCTCATCCAGTCTATTCTTCATTTAAAGATCTGGACAGGTATCTGTACAAACTGCTAATGTTACCATATCTTGGAGAATTTTTGTTCCACGATACAAATGAAGCCAATTTCCACTCCCCAAGGGTGTTTATCATTAACCGACTTCATGTTAGAGAGGAGCGGACGCACTGTAGTGGCTGCAGCTGCTGCAGGTTTGTGTGGTTAGACCTCCTATTGGACATGTTGTGCAGGCTTTAATTATTAAAGATTCATGGGAATAAATTTGACTAAATGCCATCAAATGTGACCATTGTAAAATAATTACAAGTTATTTCTCTCAACCGGAGCCAACTCTTCTTTACCGTCCTCTCATCTGCTCAGCTCTGCGTAAATAGCTGGTTCTCTATAGTGCTTTATCAAGTCCAAAGCGCTTCACTCTGCAATCAGTCATTTACGCATTCATACGCTAATGGTGGCTACTGTAACCTGGGACAGACTGACTTAAGCAAGACAGCCGTACAATTGGCGTCACTCGGCCCTCTAACCAACTCTGACCGAGGCAAACAAAACGGCGGCTCAAACATCAACCCACCGGCTCAGTACGAACAACCCACATCCCCTGATTAAAGTTTAAGTTGAAGAAATTAACTTTAAATTTGTTGAAGTTACAAAACTCTATGAGGTTTGGAGTGACTCTGCATAAGTCATAAAGTGGAGTTATTAGTTATGGTTTCATTTGGGAATCCAGGAGATGGAGCTCCCAGTTTCATACTTTAAAAAATGCCCTAAAGTGATGTTAAAAACTATTGTTTTGTCCTGACAAAATAAATTTTGATTTATGTTTGGCTCCATGTTTAAAGATGAGCAAAGTCTCACCTTGACACATAATGCACATACATTGAGTAAAAACTCAGAGGCTTTGGCCCCATTGTAAGGTTTACCTGAATTTCGGTGCAATAAAGTTTTATTGCTATTCAATTCTATTCTGCCAGCAATATAAAAAAAAAAACACACATTTTCTTCCCATCTGACATCAAATAAGACTAAACTTTTCCGATCTAAGACATCTGGTTTCAACTAGGCTATTCTGCTCCAGCTACCTCTTTACAACAGAGATGTGCAGTAATGTTTTATGTCCGAAAAGTGTTTTTACACAAGCTGGTTGTGTACGTCACACCTAACAATAAGGTTGTGTGTCCATATTTGCGTGCACATAGGAGATCAAATACTTCATTCAGGTGAAATATACATATTGAGTTCATCAGCCTAATGCAGGCAGCAGTCCACTGAATCATCAGTGATTTGATAAACAGTGTTAATGAAGTGTGGTTTGTGAGTACTTCAAGCATAACTTCTCAACAAGTGTGCATGTGTGTGCCTGTGTGTGTGTGGGGGGGTTGGGCGGGGGGGGTGCATGTGTGGGTGTGTGTGTGTGTGTGTGTGTGTGTGTGTGTGTGTGTGTGTGTGTGTGCGTGTGGGTGTGGGTGTGTGTGTGTGTGCTGAGGTATGTTTTCTCTCCTCATGCAACCCGTGTCTCTCCTTCCTCTCATAAATCACAGCCAAGGAGACTTTCTGAAAAGAGACTTCCCGCTGTCAAATAATCAAAGTAAGGCACACTGACAGAGCAGCACAGCCCCACAGCAGCACAGCCCCACACAATAAACACCCCCCCCCACTCAGCTTCTGACTTTCATTCATATTGACAGAGATCAGCATACCCAGCTATAAGTGTGTTTATGGGAGAGTGCCAGTCTGAGACAGACAGCCGACATTTTTCTGCCGAAACCGGCTAAGGCCTCCATTGTTCCGCAGATTAAAGCCAGACGGTCACCCAACAACATGTCAGTAATTTTCTGTCCCAAACACACAGCCCTCTGGTATGCTTTCTTCTTCTCTTTGGTTCTGCTCCAGCCACTGTGTTCTTTTTTCTTTTTTTTAAAAGTCATGTTTTGCAAATTGAACAATTGTAGAAGCACTGCGGTGTTTCCCACCGTAGCAGCAGCCTGGAGGTAAATAAAAAAATCAGTGGGTGTTGGGGGGAGGGGAGGAGAGTGGAAAAAACACCTTGAGAGAGAAAGGGGGAAAAGAGAGATCCACTCATCAGCCTTATCAGCTTCACTTTTATGACCGAAATCAAGCTAACAACTAATGTACACAACATGTTACCATGTGTGTTTCCAGCCGAGACGTCTGCGCTGATGTGCAGACAGCATGCTTTCCGAGCTGCATCCTCAACAATTACACCCCACTGGATAATCGCCAGTCTGCACCACAAAGAACACAGTAAAACCAGCAGAGATACCCCACACCCTTATTCTCTGTGATTAACAGAACACACACATACCTGCATTAATCAACGTTTGCATTCACACAGAAAGAAATGCACGCATGCGAGCTCCTGCGGGCCAACTTGTACCAAGAGTTTTTTGTGTAAATATGTGATTTTGTTCTGGCCGGGGTTGCTGTAGAACAAGATGCCGGCAGACAATGCAATTAGAGATGCACTAAAAGAAATCATTGTTTCATTTTTCTCCACAGCTAGCTGGGGTTTCGGTGGTTATTATCTGGGTTATTCACTCAGGTTTTTTTTTCCTTTCATTGTGCCTCTCTCCATTCTGTATTTGGCTCTCAGTTCCTTTTGTGGTGTGAGATGAAGAGGTTTATACTAGCAGCTCCTAATTCCGACCCACAAAACCTCACCGCACCCCCCATATTTTTTTGTTTGCTTTTTTCCTGTTAGTCCAGCCTGATTTTATTTGAATTCCAACTTTTCTATGCGTAGACTCTTTGTCTGCCTTGTAGGTATGTTGCAGCTTCAGAAACATTCAACACAGATAGAATATTATTTTTTCATCACAGAGGGAAAATCTTTTCTTGGCTTCTGTGGTATTCACAGTGCCTTGTAAAGAATTTCATACCGCTTCTTTCACATTCTGTCATGGTACGGAATAGACTTTGATGTACTTAATGTACAGTATAAAATGGACGTGAAGTAAAAGTGAAAGAAAAATGTATACATAAATGCATGTTTCTTTTTCATTATTATTACTTATAATAATAAATAGATTCAGGTGGTGCACCAAAAGTGACCAAAAAATGAACTTTCAGGGTTTCACCCAAAGTGCTATGTGTGGAAAAAAAAAAGCTAACACCCTGAACATGTCATCCTCACTGTGAAACAAGGTGTTGGCAGAATCGCGTTGTGCTTTTCTTCAACAGTGACGAGGAAGATGATCAGAGTTGACAGGAAAATAGATACTGCCAGATATACAATAGAATGGTTCAGATTAAACTGAATTAATGTTTAGAATGACTGAGGCAGAGTCAAAGGTGAGAATATTTGGCAAGATTTGAAAAATGCAGATGTTCCCTACAATTGAACTGTCCAGTTCAATTGGAATCGATCTGTCTGTAAAATAATCAGCAAGATTCTGAGGTTCTGGATTTGTAAAGTTTGTGGAGCCATTTACCAAAAGACGTGCAGCTATAATGTCAATGGGAGGTGGTTCTACAAAGTGCTGACTCACGTGAGTTAAAGACAAAGGGACCGCACGCTCTTCAGGTTTTCATCTGTAAAAATAAGGAAAACCATCAGTCATCCATCTCATAGCTGTTCACTACTTTGTTAGTCCATCACAAAATAACTTCAAAGTGGATTCAAGTTGGTTTTTGTAAATTGTAAGGCAAATGGTGAAAAAGTTCCACGGTTATTAATACATTTGTTAGGCACATTGTATTGTTTTTCTTCCAACTCTTTCTTGAACTGTCCAAATTGATCGTCATTTTCCCATAAAAGAGATTTATGAACTGTTGCACTGTTAGTTTAGATAGTGTCCCCTGAAATTGCAAGGACAGAGTAAACTCTACGTTGGAGTCTCCATCTTTACTATCGAGGTCATAGGAACCAGGCATTCATGTTGGGTTTTATAATGGCGAGTAAAACTTTCACACGCACCTTCAAAAGCAAAGACATAGACTACCAGGACTTACAAGCGATTTATGGTCGCTTGTACGCATCCATAAATCAGTCTCTTTTTGACCGGGTTCAGACTCTGCAGCAGCAGATGACCTCACAGCATTCATCTCATCTACTCATCCTGGTGATTATTGAAGGAGCTGCGCCACAGTAAATGCTCCCAGATGCAGGGATAGCGCCACATACGCACGGACGGATGTGCACCACAAGGCACACATCCAGAGATCTGCACCCTGATAGCAGGGAAAACTCAGCGGGACATCTGTAACCGCATCTAATTTCTCAGATTCATGACATGGTAAACTCAGCATGCTGCTTTTAAGAGTGACAAAACTACAACGTGTCGTGGGCTGAAAGTAGTGAGGAGTTGTACAAATAAAAAAATCATCACTCCCTTACTGTTTTGGCTCCAGCCATGACATTCAATGGAACATTATTGCCCCAAAAGGTTTTCACTATCCTCTTAATATACGTCTTCAAATGTTTGAAAATGTCATCTTTACAGCCACAACATCAAACATTATGCGTGAACACTTCATATCTAGCTTCCATCTTTTTGTATCAAGCGCTTATCCATCAAGTCATGACAATGCTGAGTTTTCCACGGGAGGAGCTGAGGCCAGATGGCCCACATAAGAGGCAAAACAGCGAAAGGCCAGACAGCCCGAGTGTTAATGACAGCTTTTAGTCTGCAAAGCCACCAGGACTGTGAAGGGGTCCACCAACCCGCTACTCAGGGGACCCTGTAAAAACTGTTAGCTTAACATGGAGTACGGTCGTTAAGGAGGAAGTCAACATTAGCCTTTACCACATACATCACTTTTAAGTGTTTTTGGAAAGTTTTATTCCAGAGCCAAGTGTTCCTTTATGTTTAAGTAAGGATCTGAAGGTCTCCATATTTGAGCTGAGGGCTGTTCTGAGGAGGAGGTTCAATGACTGCTCGGCTGTGTTTTATTGATGTAAACAGTGTCTACAGAGTCAACTGCTGCTTCAGCACTTTAGCTTCAGGAAGGTCTCACTAAACCGCCTTTTAGGTTATCTCATCGCCATAAACCCTCACAGCAGCCGGGGGATTACTGCAAGCTATCAGATTTGATTTTGAAATTTCCAAAAGTGGTGCACGCACATAAAGTGGGGCAGGATATACATCAATATTGTTTCTTTTTTTTTCTTCTTCTTCTCTTAATGTTTTCTTCCAAACTCTTTCTGCTACTCAAAACATCCTCTTTTTACTGTTCTCTTTATTTTACTTGCAAATGATGTTCATTGTTTCTTTGAGGACATTACATTATGAGAAACTAATCGGTAACAGCTGGCTGTAGGGTATTTTTAAGATGGTCTGTCTGGTCTGAGGATTTAAAGCAAATAGTGTCTTTTCAGTGTAATAATGACATTCTTCATCCACTGAGGACTCATTTGATCTCTTTGAAGCTGGTCATTAGTAGAAAACATTTATCCCTTACTCTCTTGCTGAGAGTTGGATGAAAAGATTTCAATCTCATGTCTGCCCATTAAAGATAAAGGCATGAAAGTCTTGGCTTAGCAGACTAGTGCTAGCACTGCTATCTACAAATAAAATATTAGCCTTAATGTAACTAAAGGCTAGAGGTATCTTCTTCTAACTCCTTGCTAATTTTTGAATTTATTCCATATTCATTTATTCTACTTAATTCATATATTTTTATATTCAATCTGATTTGCAGATCCTTTTGTTAAATGATTGTCACTGTGACTGAAATACACATTTTAATATTATATGTTACAGTAGTTGAACATGCATTATTTGGCTTCTTTTATTTTGGAAACCCATTTTCCACTTGTATGGTCCTCGAAGGTTCATTTCCAATATGGTAAACTTGGAAATATCTACTCTAAGGTTGATGGGACCAGTATGACTATAGATAAAACACAGTGATAACTTGGCCTTCAGACTTAAACAGAGTGTAAATGTGGTTGAAAAGTTTACATTGGCATGCTTTTCATGTAAAGTTATATTAAAAACAAAGAACAAAGCAGAGATTCAAGGACATTGTTAGGAAAGCTGTATTTTTTTTTAATTATTTGAATTTTAATGCTTTATTGGTCTCATAAAATCCAAAACTTTGCTTCTTCTCTAATCTGTTACATTTAAGCAACAATCTGGTGTAAAAAAGATTCTAGCTAAAAGAACAGCCTCAGATATTTCCAAAGTAACTGTTTTGTGACTCAGCCAGAAAGGGTTCATTAGACATAAATGTTCTTTACAAAAAAGTATCAATGATGATCCCAACACCTCTGGATGCAGGGATTTATTTTTCTTCTATTCACGATTATCTTTATTCCCTCCAACAGGGGCCTCTCGGCTTGGATGGCAAACCAGTAAGCTCTCTCGTAAACAAATTTTTGCAATGTCTTTGTTTAAGGATTTGATTTTATACTAAAATTCTTGTTTTGTTTTTTATTATTATTATGTTAGGGTTTGCCAGGACTCAAAGGAAGTCAGGTACATCCTTACACATCTGTTTGGCTCTTTAATTACACACATCAGTTAACATAAAGACGTTCCTACATACAGACTTTGTTAACTGGGACTCGAGATGGGTACTTTGCCTGGGAGACAGGTGGGTTTTGTGTAGCACATCAATCATTTTTACTGTTCCTATTAAAAAAGAAAACATGGTAGCTATTTTCATCGCTGTTCCACATCTTAAGTCGTCCCAGAGCTCGCAGTCATGGGGGAGTCATGGATCAAGTGAAGCTAATTCAGAAATCCCCTCTGCCCTCCCATCCATCAACCTTTCCATGAAACGCTGCGCACTCCGAGGCACACCCAGGTGTGGCGTGTAAACGGGCAAAGCATAGCAAATGGGTTACACACCGGTGGGAAAGAAGGAGCCAGAATGGTGTTTACAGCCTCAAACAAGAGGCTCTTTAAAAAGTCATTACGATGTCCTCTGCTCCTCCTCTGGCTGACCGCCATGATCGTCTTGCCAGTCCTTTCATCTTATTTATTTATTCCTTGACATTTTTTAAATAACATTTCAATGATATTTACAGCACCTGTTTTGCATAGGAAATATCTTTCCTTTACGTGCAATGAGAACGGATCATTCCCTGACATCTGAAAGCCTAATTGGAGACCTTTAAATAGTTTCCAAACATTATAAAACTCTCGTTTCCTGTTAAGACTGACTTAAAGTTCAGTCTGTTATTTTATAGGACTCTCCTCCATCACCAATGGTTTGTCGTAAAACCACAGCGGGAGAGGTGTAGACCTGCAGGCCAGGGTCGCTTCTGGATTCACAGAGCACAAGGTTAAAACAAGAGAAGGCAGGAAGAAAAGTTCAATTATTGATTGATTTGTTAGCAGAAAGTTCCAGTACGACAACTCTTAAATGAAGATCATTATCTGTCAAGTTAATTTTTTGTCAAATCACACAACTTTCCTTCTGCTTTCACCTTGACCCTACAATACTGAGGGCCTGTTGGAGAAAGGCAGCTACCCTTTCTCCACTCTGCCCACTTTGTCAAAGTTGTGGTCCATAAAACAATAGGAGCTCCTGTCCAAACAAAATATTTGGCTCAAAGAAAAACGAAGACAGGGGTAAAATTTAAAGCACCGTCTGAAGGTGGAAGAAAAATTATAGTGAAAAGACTCAACAAAACAGCCAAAGGGGACAGAGAGTTAAGTACAACATAAGGTTAGTCAAACAATGAATGGAAGGAGATTAGAAAGAAAAACTATGACCTGAATTGTGGCGTCACTTTTAGGTTCCTGGGGTCAAAACAAAGCGCTTTAATACCCTCATGTCCTATGAACCTTTTCACATTTTGCCCCACACACTTTAATGTTGAGATTTTATGTGATGAAACAAAACAAAATGGAGCAAAATATCCTAAAACATTTCAGACATAACATTGATTTCTTATTATCTCAATAAGAAACCAATTCTATATTTTCTATTTCTTTCAGATTATTCAGCTATTATTGATATAAACTAAAAGTCATGTATAATTGTGATGAAGAAACGGTTTCAGAAGTTTTTACTCATAAAACTCAGCCAAAGGCATTCGGCTTGCATTTGTGTTCAGGTCTTCTGAATCAATACTTTGTGGAACTACCTGTTAGTACCATGATAGCGTCAGCTCCTTTGTAGTATGTTTCCACCAGCTTTGTACATCTGGAGGCTGAAATTCTTGCCCATTATTCACTGAAACATAGCTCAACAAAACAGCTGTCAGAATGGATACAGTGTGTCTGTGAACATCGGTTTTCAGGTCTCGCCACAGAGCCATCCCTCTATTCCTGATCTGTCCACTGTGTTCCTAGGTCTTTTTGTTGCGTTTCATTTAGTAATCTACTCTATAAACCTCTGATCTTGTGGCGCAACGGTGGCTCAAGGTTTGTGCTGTAACGGATTGGTGGCCAGTTCAATCCTCTGCTACATCTGTGTCAGTCTTCATGTTCTTGGACAAGAGTCTTCACCTGCGTCGCGTGCTGCTGGTGGTCAGGGTGCCCGATGGCGCTGACTGAATGGCCGCCTCACTTCTGTTAGTTTGCCCCAGGGCAGCTCTCCTGGGGTAAGTGATTGAATGAATGAATGACTGATTGTAGTGTAAAGAGTTTTGGAGTCCTCTGACTAGATAAAGCCCGATAAAAATGTGACCCATTTACCATCCAAGTCTGTCACAAAACAGCTAGATTTACGGGGACCCACAGCTGGACTCTATTACTCTTAGTTCTATTTAGTACTGCAGTGTCTTCTGAAGACAATTGGTTCCACTAGATGCTTATGCTCCACTTTGTCTTGGCCTATCACATAAAATCCCAATAAAATACACCAAAGTTTGGAGTTGTAACATGACAAAATGTGAAAAAGTTCAAGGACTACGTTTGGAGGGCCTGTGGATGTTGGCTGATTTCCATCTTCTTGTTCTTCTGTCACTGTGGCGCTTTTCCCTTTGTGGTGCCACCACATGTGGCGTCCTTGTGCCACTTGTGCACAGTGGACAGACAGGGACAAAAAGGCGGCCACCAAACTAATCTCATCTGTTTGCCCACCGTTTATAAATGTTATGTCAAAACGTCCAACACAAAGCAGGACTGTGTATCTTTATCTGACATTCAGCCTAGGAACACTAAAGCTTCATGTTTTCTGTTAGTGTTCGGGACATTCAACCCCAAAGACACAACAAAACCCACAGAACCGAACACAAAAATCCATGGACTCCCTGCGCTACAACATCTTCAAAGTTCCCATCTGTCAAAAAGACTGATGTAGGAACAAAAGGAACATCTTTGCTTTTCAGCTTCATCTCTCACCACATTTTTTAACTCCTACATAAATACTTGAAAGATGTTTTTTTTTTTTTACTTCAAACAAGGAGTTGCATTCAGCAGAAAATGGGTCGGGATTAAGCGATCTCCGTGACACGCATAATTAAGTGGTGTTGCCGTGTCGCCTTATTGCTTGATTTAATACTCCATGGTTTGGCCACGTAGAAGATGCAATGTGCTACGGTGTGTCACTGATTTATTTTCACCAACTGTCTCTGATTATCTCTCTTATCTCTCCTGCAGGGCCTGCCCGGACCCAAGGGAGAGAAGGTATGCTTCAACTAGAGTTCCAGCTGTGCTTAGCTGGCACGAACATTATTTTGCTTGTAAAGCCACAGGGACACATGCAGCCTCTCGATTGCTTTAGACTTTCACGTTTTTGCCATTCACTGACTAAATGAAGAAAAAGATAACATGTACTTCACTGAGAAGGTTTGTAGACCTTCCGTGAAGCTTGGTGATAGCCAGATGTTTTCCCGCTCAGTGAGCCTCCGTCCAGCTGAAGACATTGGAAGCTTCTAGCAGTTTGAGGTTGGCATGTGCTTATCGATGCCCGCTCTCGTGCCGAAGTGTTTTCTGCTGCTCTCAAGTGGCAGAGCTGCAGATAAGCAGGAACGGTACGGTACCGCAACTCAGAACGGGATTCGTCGAGGCCGGATCCATCCGTGTGCGTTCTCTCCAACAGATGGATGATGTGAATGTTTAAATAAAGAAAACCGCTTTCCTTTGTGTCGTCATAATAGTAGCTCAGTAATGAGAGCGTGACCTTTCGGCCTTCATCAAAAAACAATCCTCACCCTGCACACACCCTCGGTTACTACCCCGATCTCATCCTGTCCGATGAGTGTATCTGCGGCTTATCAAGTGACTTATCCAGTAAATGTTTACATCCCATTGTGGTTTGGACAGATGACCCTTGAGTTGCTTCCTTCCTATAAACACTATTTTAGTAAGCTTGTCTGTCATTGCGGGACCACAGTACCTCTTGAATTATTAGCCATTTGTACATTTACAATTCTGAGAACTACTGACAATTGTTATTTTCCTGTTTTTCTATCAGGGCGACCAAGGAGACATTGGGCCAAGGGTAAGTCACCTTTTCATATTGTCTTTGAGAGATTAAATAAAATTTTGGGGGAAACGTTTGCACAATTTAGATGGTGTTTCTTCAGTTCAGGATTTGCAGACTTCTCTTTTTCTGTGAAATAATTTGTACCACAGACTATCAGTTGCATTTAGGTCTGGACTTTGACTGGGACATTCTAACACATGAATACCCTTTGATATTAAACCACTCTGTTGTAGCTGAGGCTGTATGTTCAGGGTCACTATTCTACTAGGAGCCCTGGTCTCAAGGCTTTTGTACCCTCTCTAGAGCTTTTCTCCCAAAATGGCCCTGTATTAAACTTCGCCTGTTTTTCCATTAACTCTTAGTCGCTAGTACATCTCTGCAGCTCCTCCAGAGTTAACATAAAATTCTTGGCTGGTTCTTTGAAATAACACTGTCTTTGCCTGATCTGTAAGGCAGAATAGTCATGCCTTGGTTGATTTTCATCTGTGCCATGTTCTGGATTAAATGAAGATGATTTTATTACTCTGCTCAAAACCTCTGTAAAATTTTGTCCCTGTCCTGTCCATTAATGTGAACTTCTGAAGGCTTCATAGAATAACTGTACGTGAACTAAAATTCAATCATGCAGAAGAGAAACGTATTCATGTAAATAGTGACTTATAAAAGAAACTAGTTATAGAAAGTTTTGTTCAGGTGTATCAGAGTAAAGACAATTTAAATACACACAGCACACTTCAAATTTTTGTTATGCTCTACTTTATTTTGTTCTGTCACATGACATCCAAATATGTAAAGGTTCAATGGGGTTTTATACTTTTCCAAGGGTCTGTGTGTATTTTGCTCTCTCTAAATAAAAGTCATTGTCATATTAAGTTCAATACAAAACTTTTTAGTATATTGTAAAACAGCCATCTGTTTTACAATATACTAAAAAGTTTTCATCTTGTCATCAAGGAAAATCTAATTTTGTAGGGCGGGACGGGATGTATGCTGGTGTACATTCCCATGTTTCCAGGACATGGAAATCTAAGGCACTGAATAAAAGGCAACATGGGGTGGAGAGGATGATTTACCTTTGCAAACAACTTGGAAGTTCGTCCCTGTCCATTAATCAGCAAATTCAAACGTGAAACCCAGACTGCACACTGTCTCAAAATAACTTTTATGGGTTATTTCCTGCAATCAAACATGCGAATAGAAAAATATTTGGGATATCCTCATTGTCTTGAGCTCTGATCGAGGATGAAAGGGAATACTTGACATTCACATAGATACAATATAAATATAGACATAAAACAAAGGCATTCTATACAGGCAAAGGGGATCTTTAAATACAAGACAGAAAGAAAGAAAATCAGTAAGAGAAAAATAGACTCTTTTGATTTGTGGAAATGTAAAAATAATCCTGAAGAAGCCTCAAAATAGCACTGCTTAACCTCCACAGCAGATGTAGATAGTTTATGATGACCTTCATTAAATGATTGCAGTGGGAAAGTCTTTGTCCAACAGAAGTATTTAATCAAAATGTTGAACAAAGTGTTAAAAATAGAGTTAAATGGTTACCTAAGCACTATGGAGAGAGTATTGTGGTTTTAAGCTGCTTAATTTACAAATAAACATTTATTGGTGAATGGGATGTCAAGGCTAAAATTAATCTAAATCATGCTTAAAAGTTTATTTTTATTTAATGATATTAGACATCAAGTAGAAGACTCAGTTCAGCTTAACTTGGAAATAAGCAGGAGCTAAACCTTGTGTGGTTATTATGTCTCTTCTTTTTGTAGAAATTCAACTCCATTGACCCAAGACGGAAAACTACATTATGTTTCTCTCTTTAGATAATTTTATGAAGATAACGTGAGGAAATCTGTCCCACAACTAAAGTCTAACAGGAGCTTAACCTTTTCATCTAAAATAACTCACAACACAATAGTAGCTCCACCTCAAAACCAAGAAAAATAAAAAATAATAATAATCATTAATCATTCAAAGCCCAGCTTTGGTGGTGATATAAGATATTTATAAGAAAAGATAATTGCCTGTGGATTCATCATTACCATAGGAGAGCATTACTTCTACTGTACTTACATTTATTTTATAGATATCTGGAAAGGTTACATTCTTTGTTTCATTTAAAGCTTACAAAGGAACTTTTTATGTAGAATTAAAAATCTACAAATTAATCAATGAAAACTTTCTTAAAAGATTTCATTTCTTCAAAAAGCATTTGCATTTGCTAGAATCTTAGAAGGTTTAAGGCTTAAACATTTTAGAAGTTTATTACAATCCTACACCTGTGTTAAGAAGTTATTTCGCAACAGCAGAATTTGTCCACCTACTTGAAAAGATTTAGACAGAGAAAGCCTGAGTAATGATTTAAACTGAAACCAGACAAAGTGACAGACCATCAAAAAGAGGGATTCACATTTAAGGGAGCAGAAATTTGCCATCTTTTGAAGGACCGAATAAAACAATACAAACAGTTTGAGCAATCTTGGCCTGGATGATGAAATAATCTAAAAAAAAGTATCTTATCATGACTGTGTCTGTCCAAGTTGCTTTTAACAGTCCCTTAAACTCATCTGATAGCTCAGATGAGTTTGTTTGTGTTTTTTTTTTTTTTTGTGCAGCTCACTCCTTGGATGAGTTGCCTCCATCTCCTTAGCCAGAAATTAGGAAATGATGCAACGAGAGGATGATGGAAACATTTGAACATCCCCATCAAAACTCAGTGGTTGGAAAAAGAGTGCCAAAGTTGCTATCCAGTCTTATTTTTTTTTCTTTACATAATCAAATAACTTCCTTGTGCATTTGGTCTGTGTTTTCCTTTTGTAATATTAGCTCAGCATTTATGGAAAATATGTAGTTATCTCTAATTTCATCCACTGTGATTTGAAAATAAAACAGCTATTTATTACTTTATGTTGGTTGAGCTCATGAAATTCCAACAAAATGTGCAGCAGTTTGTATAAAGTGACAAATTGTGAAGAAGATCAAGGAGTTTGAACATTTAGCAAAACACAGGGTGAGTGTACTGGAAGCACAAAGTGGTTCCTGTGTTATAGCAGAGCTGAAACGGAGTGTACATTTGCAAAGCTTGCCCAGTGGAAAGATATTTATGATGCGATGCTGAAACATTGCAGGAATTCCTGATTTCAATCAAGACGTAGGCCATTACATTTTCCTACCTATGCATTTTTGGTTCTGAGGCAATAGTTCAAAAATATTTTTGGCATTCGCTGTTGGTAGTTTTTCCAAATGGTGAATATTGCTCTTGGCTGAGGCTTCTCTTGCTTTGATGCCTTTGGATAAGTCTGCAGTTCCCAAAAACCTCAGGACATTGCTTGGAAACACATGCTCGACTCAAAACAAACGCTGTGAGTGATTCCTCCATGTGGAGTTTCATGGATATTCCCTAATAGGAAGAGTAATAGCCTCTTGATTTGTGCTGCAGGGGGAGTTTTTTAGTATTATTCCACCATAAGCTTAGTTATCACTTTGCCCTTTTTTTGACAGTTCGCTCTGCTTCACCTCTGAACTTTTCAGGATGAAAGACAGGAAGCGGCCATGAATCTCTGTCAACCTGTGACTTCCTGTCGATCCGTCATGTTCAGAGCTATCGTCAGGCAGACTCTGGTCACAAACGCAGGAAATGAGGCGCATTGAACCCAAATCGGATGTCATAGAACCATCAAAATACAAAAGGATGTGGAGTTTTTGCATCTTTCTCTAAGGACATCTTGATCAAAAGGAAGCCTGAAGATATCCATATCTTCTAGTTTATTCTTAGAAGACACTGTCACTGCACCTTTGGGTTTATCTGGCACCTCTGTTGTCAAAGACAAGCTGCAAGGATCCACGGCCAAATCCTCTCTTTGCTTCCCTTGAAACAGCAGTAAAACTTCAACTTGAAGCCGGACTCTGAGGGGGGATGTCTGTTTTTCTTGGTTTTTCTGATGGGAATGAGCTAAAGGCGATCCCCACTGTGAAACAGCCTCTTCTGTTATGAGATGTTTAAAGAAGCATATGTGGTCTTCATGGTGGGAGCGGTGTGAATGAGTGAATGTGACAAAGGGGAAAAGAGGAGTATATCGGCATAAAGAGGTGGAGGGAACGTTTCGTGGTCTCGGAAAAAACCTCAGCAGTCCGGCGCTCGTCGTTAGCAGACACTTCTCCAGCAGACTTCCCTTCCTTCTGCCGCTACTTACTCCCCGCTGTTCCTCGCTCTCCCTCTCCAACACCTCCCCATCACTTCTCTCCATCCTTCCCTGCACCCTGCTTGTGTTTTTGCGGGAGCTCGACCAGGGAGGCTCAAAGCTCTGTGGCGGCAGACAAACTCTGCTCCTTTCAGCTTGACAGACAATCAACACAATTACTGTCTGTTGACTGGAAAGAGCCAAGCCACCTCTGTTTGGGTTGGGAAAGATGGGAAGCCATTCCACAGAGCACACGTCCACATTCACCAAGAAATATATCCTTGGATGGATGACTGAGGCATAAATTTCAAAAGGGCAAAGGTTGCAGTTTGCAGATTTTTACTGTTTCGTTGTAATAAAATGCACATGCAGCACATTTTAAAGGAGCTTTTTCACATTCTGTCACATTCCGACCACAAAGTTCAGTGAGTCTTATAGGGAGTTTGTGCAATAAATGAAGACAAAGTAGTGCATAAATGGAAAGAGGAAGGAAAGACTTGCATTTTTGTCGTTTATTCTAATCCCATTCACTTTGATACCCCTAAATAAAATCCAGTGTAACCAAATAGCCTCAGAAGTCATGAAGATAGTAATTAAAGTCCACCTAAGTGGACTTTAGGGAGAGACTAAGTATGTAGCTTAGTCTCAGTATAAATGCAGCTGTTATATTGAAGCCTAGAGCCAAAGAGAGGTCTGTCACAGAACATTAGTGAAACAACATCACAAAGACCACAGGATACAGGAGAAAATTGTGAAGAAGTTTAAAGTAGGGTGAGGTTATGAACAAATATGCCAAGTTCTGAATATCTCACGAAGCCCAGGTCGTCCATCTAATCTGGAAAGACTGGCAAGAAGAGTATGAATCAGAAAAACATGATGACCCTGGATTAGCTGGAGGGCCTTTATGAAGGAGTGGGACGCAGAAAACACACAGAAGAAAGTGTTCTGGTTAGATGATAATAAAAATAAATGATACGGTGCAGAAAACCTACAATGAACGTCATTCTGAACTCAACAACCTCAAGGTAAAACTGTGTAGTGGCAGCATCATGCTATGAGGCACTACTTGTCTTTTTTAACAGGTCAGAGTTCATTAGATGATAGGAAGAGCCAAACATGGGGCAATTCAGAAAGAAAAAAAGATTAAAGAACTAATAATCAATTAATTGTATGATATTCTTTGAAGGGTAATTGTTTTTTGTTTGTTTGTTTCCAGAAACTTCGTAATCCATTTTATTTTGTGGTTTCAGTTGGGTGTGTGTCTTTTATTTCCTTTTTATTTTTATTTTAGATATTTAAAACCAATTAAAGTGTTACATGTTCTGAACACAATGAAAGATTTTCAGCCTTTGAAAGGGCAAATTTGCATTATTCTGCCATATATCATTTCAAAATGGTCTCAAAATTATAATGTTATTGTTTTGTCTCAATATTTTCTGGGACGAATTACGGTCAAACGTTTGTTTCGTATGTTTTCGACTCAAGAGGGCTCAGTACACATGCACAGCATCTCAAAATGTGAATACGTTGAAGGAGTATGAATATCGTATCTGCAGGACGATGTTTCTTGTCAAAGATTGCCAGCGCTGGTCTGTGAGTTTTCGTTCACTGTGTGACTCCTCTCCTCAGGGTCCTCCAACCTACAGCACATATGCAGGTCTGCACAGTAATCAGATCGCTGTCAAGGTTTGTTACTCCCACTGTAAGGTTCCATAATCCTCCCAGCAGCCACCTCTCCCCGCTTGCTGCACATCTGTCACTATCTCTGCAGAGAGAAGATCACATTGCTCCTCTTCTCAGCTTTTTCTTCTGCAGTCTGCTGGAGTTTGACGCCTCGGTTTTATCCGACAGCAGCCCTCTCCTTTCCGCCTGGACTCTCAGTTTAACACAAATTTCCAATTTTCTCTGCTCATTTTGTCTCGTTTTTCCTCTTCTCTCTCTTTCTCGTCTCCCTTCTACTCAACTGCACATCTGTTGCACCTCAGATGGTTTTCCCCCGATATGATCACAGCTTTCTCGCTGGAGAGCAGTCCAGCAGCTTTCAGAGACGCTTTCTGAAGGTAGACCTCTGCTAAAAGGCATGTGCTTCCTCTTCTAACTCTTTAACCTGCCTCTCGTTTGCATGCTCTAATTGTATTATTTCTGTTCTTTTCGCTATTTTTGGTTCTGTTACGTGTAATAAGTTCATGTTGGTTTGATTGTTGTCACCATTTGATTCTGCCGCGTTTTTTTTATTTTTTTATTTTAACCATATTAGTGACGCAAAGATTTGTTTGATTTTTAGCTCAACTGGGATGATTGGGAACACACTTTAAAGGTTCTCCAGAAAACACTTGTTTGTTTTCATTTTTAAAAGAATAAATAAGCTTTAACTGTCTAAATTTGACAGAAACTTTGTCAGTTCTTCAAAAAACTATCAGGATGCACATTCATCTAAAAGGCTAATTTCCTTTTTGTTTCGCTGGACAGCTTCAAAATGACAAAATAATCACTGACAAAATACATTTTTCCAATTTGCATGACTTGAATCACCACTTGACTTGCCTCAACAAAGCAAACCATAACGCTCCAGATGGGCTTAGAGAAAGTGTCTCCACTATAATTTTCAGAAATTTTTGGAACATTAATGGTTTTCTGTTCTCAACACAAATGGGAAATATGCATCAGATGGGGTCGTCAAAATGTTTTTTATTTGGAATAACACAGGGAACAAATTCATTTTTTTGGACAAACAAAACTGTTTCTTTTAAGCTTAATATGAAAATAAACCATAAAATATAAATTGGATCTGACTGGATTTATCACTGTGTGACAAAATATCCGTTTGACTCAAAGAAGAACCTTACTCATTCTTCCAGTAAGATCACAATCAAAGTTTGATTCTCTCAGAATAAGTCAACAAAGATGTTTCCTTTGTTGATTTGATTGAACAATTAGATCTTTTTTTCTCATCTGGATTTCTATCCAAAGCAACAAAAAGCTTTGCAGTTCTAACCACTTCTGCAATGCTCACTAGTTAGTTTGCAAAAAAAAATGTTTTTTGCTCTGTGTTTTCAGTCTGTGTGCAGACTGCACATAAATTCAACTAAAGGAAAGATTCATATTGTAAAGAAAATTGTAAGGTTAGCTGGAGTGAGAACCCACCTTCTGCTTATGTTCCTGAAACCTTCACTGAAAACTGACAAAATGACAACAATCAGCATATTAAAAGTACTAAAATCTCAATTTTAGGAAAACAAATCAAATTATTCAATGTGAGATTATTCTACCGTGACATATGTTGAGTTAATTTTAGAGCATATTATCCATCTTTGCTGTGGGTGCCATTTTATAGAATAAAACCTGACCTACCTGAAGACATGTTGTCAGGCGATGATCTGTGTCTGCTGCCACCACCTGGCCAAACACGTTTTATGCACCTCTGAGTATTTTTAAATTATTGCTTGAGATAAAGTGCATTTCTAATTTGTTTTTGTCGTCATTCTCCACACTTTGCTTTGCTAGCATCTAAAGATGACTCAGTGTGACTGAAAGTTGTATTTTACTTTTCTGTGAGCCAAAAACATAGTTTCTCTAATATTCACTCTTCTATTATATTATTGTTATTTTCATCAGGGTGATCAAGGCCAAGCTGGACCCGCAGGGCCTCCTGGTCCTCCTGGGCCTCCCGGTGCCCGTGGGCCCCCAGGAAACACCGGGAAGGACGGGCCCGGTGGAGAGCCGGTAAGGACAACGCAAGTGTGCAGGAAGCTCCTTTTTACTCCATGTTGGACTGCTCTTCCATCACTCTGCTCACATCTCACTAAGGTTGCACCACAAAACACCAAGCTTTGTGTGAGTCTGTCACTTGAGTAAGGGTCTTCTCTGTAAGAAGCACTGAACCCCAAACCTCATTCTTCAGCATTAGCCTGTGAGCTGTGGTTTACCTAGAAAAAAAAAAAATCTCCGAAAATAGCAACTCTCATTCAAGCCTCATCTGTTTTGCATAAGTCAGCAGCCGCAAAGTTCTCCAAAACACGCCGCTTTCTCCCACCACTGTGTTGCCCTGCACGCTGAAACAGATATGGCGCTGTGGTGAGTTCATGGGCAGTTCGCTGGCCGCGGGAAACAATAGTGCACTCCTCGTCTGAGGCATTTTCTGTTGCTCAGAATTAAGTTTGTACCCCACAGCGCTCCACTGATCCACTGTGGCAGCATCAAACTGTGGTTCCTGAATTTGAGGGGAGAAAGTTTCAGTTTTTTCTGTTTACTTACTTGAAGGAATAATAGTTGCATTACTCTCATCTGGCGGTGGACTGCAGCGGATTTTACGTGAAAGATGTTGGTTTTGACGTGGGTGAGTTGAGAGCACACGCTGAAGCAACCGCAGAGAGCAGTCGGATCAGCTCAAAAAGTGACAAAAAACAGACGGGCCGAACAAAAAAGGGGGCCATCGTGTAACCTAGTTGACGGCAAATGGTCTTTTCAAGTTGATTAAAGGCGTTGCGAAACCCAAAACAGCAAAACAAAGTGGTGCTGAGAGCTGCTCCATGTTGTGGGCAGATGTTTCAGCAGACTGAGCAGGAGAAAGTGAGGAAGCCCTCCAACATGGGTGTCCTCTAACACCTGATGCTTGCAAAAGTATTCATATCCATAGAAGCACATTTAGTTTGCACCTTGTAATTTGGTGCCAAAACAGACTATTACAAATTTGTAAAGAGAAAAAAAATATTTTAATTTAGATTAGTGACAAATAGATAATTTGTAATCACCCAGCTTCTGATTCTCCATTAGACGCAGGTCTGAACCACTCCATCGTGTGCCCTGCTGAAAGAGGAACCTTCATCTCAGTTTCAGGTCTTTTATGGCCTTTTAAGATGTTTTTTTTTTTCCCAGGGTTGCTCTAAAATTACCACAAGTCTTGCTATCCAATCACAACAACTTGTTTATTCTTCTCAAGAAAAGAAAACCCCACAGCATGATTCGACCACCTCTGGGTTACATAATTGGAATCGAATATTAAGGGTACTTGTTTTTAGCATACTTAACATTTCAAGTGCAGACGAAAAACTTTAATTTTGGCCTCGTCTTACTGGAGTACCTTCCTCATAATTTGCTGTATCCTTCTTGTGGCTTTCTGTCAACAGCTTAACAGCTGCACTATGGATCTCTGTAGCTCCTGCAGAGTAAACTCTTGGCTTCTCTCCCGCTTTTAATATTGTCTTTGAGTATTACATCCCATCAAACTTCCCCATAGCCTCATCCCTGAGCTGCCTGGAAAATTTTGGAAAAACAAGACACTGTAGAAGGGAGTTTCGGTTTAATATGGGAATCAATTTCACAGCTTTCGAATTTGAAAAATGTGAGATTTGCTTTAGCGGCTTAATTCAAAGCCTACATAAATTCCAGACTCCGTAATCACGAATGCATCTGACATCTGAACTGGGCTCTGTTCTGTACTCAAGATAAAAAGCGCTGCTAAAAATTATTTGCAACGGCGATTTGTTTCCCACTGCTGTGCAGGACAGATCAAACGATGGGGCCGAGGTAAGAGGGGTGGGAAGAGAGGTTAAAAGACGGCAGGAGGATGGGAACAAAACCGGACCACAGAGCAGCTCGGTGCATCAGGATGACAGCTTGTATGTGCAGACAGAGCGCAAGAAGAGGAGAAACACCTGGGAAACGTCTTAGTAGCCCCTACAAAATATTGTAAGATATGAGCGCTAAATGGAAAGTTAATACCCTCCGATGTATATGCATTTATGTGAGTGCACTGAGAGATCAAGTAAACACCACTCCTTGATTGCCGTGTGTGTGTAGCTCGTGCTTAGTGCAGATTTCCTCTAAGTTTCCTTTGTAACGGATGACTTCATAGCAGACATTTAGCCATCCACCTGGTCCCCACAAACAGCTGATAAGTCTGTTTACCTAAATGAGCCAAATCACTGACAGACAGATGGAGAAAGACATGGAAGCTGACATGAAATGTGTGTGTTTGATGTTGTTTGGTTCACATATAGACTCCAGGGCTTCAAATTCAATCGTTGGATTTGCTAAAGAGGAAACATAAAGGAGTTTTTTCTGGATTAAAAAGCAGAGTGGTTGAGTAAATGAAGAAATCACTGTCAGTATAAAAAGTTAGAAGAAAAAAAACAATCACTTCATTATGGAAAGGAAGGAATGTCTTTATTCAGAGTATCAAAGAGATCACTGATTTACTCCTTTTGACATATTTAATTCTTTTACTTGCTTTTTACTGTCACTGATTTCTATGCCTTTATCTCCCAGTACCATAAAAACTAGATATTTCCATCTATCACAATCTGTGACCTTTTCTGTGAGACATTTACATGCACTTATCATGGCATGGATGTTATAGTAATTAGGACTTTCAATGATTTGCTTGAACTTCTTATAAGAGTTCAATGATTATACAGCAAACAACTGTGAGGAATTTCAAACACTGGTCAGCAGTGCAGTGAAAATCATTCACACAAGTTCAAATATACACACACCCTGACTGACACTTGGTTGAACGTTTCAATAAGAAGCTATTATAGCCAGGAATGAGGCAGGAAGCTGAGCCACTTTCCTTATCGGAGTCAGTGGAAATAAGTTTAATTGGTTCGAACTGAGAATAGTGGTAACTCTGTTCCAGGCATTTTGTGCCAGCCAGCTTTATCTGCTTTAAATATCTGCTTCTTTTTTTTTTACTTTTATTGACTTCAAGTTATGTTCAAGTTTTTATTGTCTTGCTCCTGATTTGAGGTGAAATGGAAGGCTTGCTTTCTAAGCACTTCGTACAATATCAGGCAGTGAAACAGATTCGCAATATGACACCGACTACCAAGCACCGTGCTTAGTAGTCGGTGCTTTTTAGGTTCAAAAAGCCAGAGCTTTTGATTCCTCCCATCACATCTCTTCCCATATAGCTGAACCTCTGTCTCCTCTGACCGTAAAACAAATTAGTTTTGTTTCACTGTGAAATCAAATCTAGAATTCTCCTTGGCGAATTTTTGTTTGGTTCTTTTGTCTTTTCATCATCCTGATTAATTGGTCAATTTAGTGAGTGCTGTCAAAGAAAAGATTTTTAATATAAAGAGCATCTGCCAGCTGCAGTCACTCATGATCACTCATTCAGCAACACTTTATTCACAGATTTTAGAGCCAGTTTGTAGGATTTTGTGTGAATTAGACATTAATTATACATTAAATCCTGCTCCAATCAAGAGTAGTTCAAATAGACCAATAAAAACTTAAATCTTCTCTGACATTCAAGTCATTTTGAGTGCAAATAAACCTCTGACACCTGGATCCTGTGGAGGACTTAGTCAACACTGACATCTAGTGGACAAACTCTTGAAGTAACTGTGCTTTCCTCACGGAGTTTTTCCTCTGTTTCCTCCTCAGGGTTTGCCAGGTCGGGATGGTGTTGAGGTGAGAGTTCATAATTTTTATGTTCCCAAAAGTCAGAACCAGACATCTAGTTTTTCTTTATCTGATTTATTTATTTGTTTATTTTTTTACTTCAGGGACCGCAGGGACCGCCTGGGAAACCGGTAAAGTTTTAAGAATCCACCTGTACTCCTCTGACTTATTCTCGCTGCTAAGCTTTACGCTCTTTACATTCATTAAAATCTACTGACTGGCAGGGAGAAGACGGAGAGCCTGGCTATCCAGGAGTGCAGGGCCCTCCAGGGCAGAGGGTATAATTAGTTATTCACATAGTTGGTATCACAATTTTTAACATGTTCTTAGCACATTAATTATGGTTCTTTTTGTAATTCCCCAGGGGGAGCCAGGTATGGGAGAGAAAGGAGAGAGAGGCATGGACGGAGTCCCAGGATTAAAGGTAAAATTAATCTGAAGTGGTTTTACGACAAAGCTTATTATTTAAGTGCAATTCATGTAACATTCACAGTCGTGATGCATGATATGTCATTTCCTCCTCATACAGGGTGATAAAGGAGAGGCAGGAGAACAAGGACCACAGGGACCTATGGTGTGTTTTCATTTACAACATAAATCCTCCAAATTTACTCTGTTTTTGTTGCCAGGTATGTAAATGATATGCATTTCTCATTTCAAACTCCTGCTGCAGGGTTATCCTGGCGAAAAGGGCGCTGCCGGCTCCTCAGATATTGTCGATTTCAACGGAAAGCTCCTAGATGCTTTCCAGGTGAGTTTAATCTTCTAAACGTAGCGCTGAATCCCACAATAGGGTTCAGGGAAACCTAAGCTTATATGAAAGCCTTTGTAGTCGGAAATAAATCTTGAGTATTTCAGCCAGAGACCTCTCAAGTGAACTGCCTTACTGTCTCTTCTTGACAGGCCATCAAAACCATCAGTGTTTCGGTAATCCGCTGCTGTTGCTGCATGGTTTTTGGTGGCGTGGCGAGTCACTAACACCACTCTACGTGCTTGCATCAGCACAGACCCCGTGAATTTTCCCCCCTCACATCACACCTGCCTCAACAGTCATTTCTGTGTGTATATTGTGTCCAGATTTGCGACATCAGATGTATTAGATGTCACTGCACGGGCCACATCTGAAGAGACTCTCTGAATGCCGGGGTCTGTTGCGTTCTGGTGCTTTGCGTTCTCGTTTGGGATGCAACACGCAGCCACAGTTAATGCATCGCAGCTGTGTTGTTTTATCAGATAACATGTAGCCTGAAGACATTTCTTTAACCATGCAGAACAATCGAAAGGGCTCATTGCAATGTTTTGAGTTCTATGAATGTTACTATGTGCTTTCCCTGGTATTGGCATTTTCCCATGCAGTGCTTTTCAAGTGTCTTCATATTCCCTGAACTTTTTTGTCTTGTTACAACCGCAAGCTTTATGTGTTTCATTATGTTGCAGATCAGCAGTGTTGTCTTTTGCTGTGAAGCAAAAAGGATACAAAATACAAGATTAGTTTTTTCTTTTTTTATTTTTACATGTAAAATCAGTTTGACCCCACTGAGTCAGTATGATATATAAGCGGAAACAACTTTCATTGCCATTACAGCCTGAATCTATCAGCTTTGTGCCTCAAGAATCTGAAATCTGTTTTTTGTGTGTGTGTGTGTGTGTGTGTGTGTGTGTGTGTGTGTGTGTCCCCTAAATAGTTCTGACCAGATGCAAAGCGTTTGCGAACATCTATTTTCATTTCGTGCTTTTTCTTGCTTTGTGTTTACCTTTGTCCTGTGAAGGTGACACAATTGTCGTTTAAACCATAACCGGATCATCTGTTCCTGCTGAAGAAAACAGGCCCACAGCATGGCACGTCCACTGCCATGTTTCTTCTTGCGGATGGTGTGGAATTGTTTGTGTGTTGAGACACTAAACCAACTCTAGGCAAAAACATCTGTAATTTTGGTCTCTTCTGACCATTACACATTCTTCTTCTTCTTCTATTTATTTTGTGCGAATGACACAAAGTAAGCAGTTATAGACAGTCTCCCCACAGCATGATGCCACCGCCACCATGTTTCAGTGATATGCAGTGTTGATTTTTTTCTTTCTCCCTGGTCCTTGCTCTTCATGATGCTTCGTGTTCACTAATGTGAATCTCCCAAGCCTTCACAGACCACCTGGATGCATGTTGATAGTAAAGTGTACACCAGTGAATTTTACTTACCAAGTGGGGAACTTTAGTTGCTTGTATTAAATCGTATTTAGGGCTATGAAAATTAAGAATATGAAAGTTATGAAAGTTAAATATAAATCCAAACTCACACACTTTTCAGATTTTTATTTGTAAAAAAAAAAAAAGCAAGTTCTATTTTCCCTTTCAAGTCATAATTATGGGTTGGATTACCACATTAAAAATTTGAATGAAATACATAGGTCATAAAAAAGTGCTCTGTGCAAACCCTTGCTGACAAGAGCAGGAAATTTTGATTAACGATAGGAAGGGCAACTCCACACTCATTACCGTCACAGCTCTGCCTATATCCACCTGATCTCCATCCTGCCTCGTACTGGGGAATACATGCTACTGGAAGATGGCTATCTGCTCTGTGGTGTTTGCATTTGATTAAAGACTCGTATGAGCCAATTCCCTTTGGGTTCTGATCTCAAACCAAGTCACAGCCCAACAGCCTCAGATAGCTTCAAAGCAGATGGTAGAAACACAAAATAAAGATCATATCAGAAACCTCTCGTCAAAGAGGTTCAGTCTGCACTAAGTCTGCTCTCTGGGCCTCTGGCGGACCTCCGAATGTGGAGGTCATAATTCACTCATCGGCCACCCATGTTGCATTTGTTCCATTCACTTGTTTGTGTGAGGAGCGGGTTCTCGTGTTTCATCTGTGCTGATGAATTTGGTGTAAAGTAATGCCATAATGTTATTGGTTAGTCTCTGATCTTCATTCTGCAGCTCTTTACATGATTGGTTGCATGAGTAGAGCTCAGTAACCGCTGATGAAATACTGCAGATGAAATAGTGTCACGTAAACATCTCTGGTTTCCGAAGATTTTGTGGCTCTCACAGAGTCCAAAAAGGGAAAGGAGTAACACAGATCAGGGAGGCAGCATGTTTTTTTTTTGTTTATTTGGGTTTTTTTATTATTATTATTATTGTTAGTCCTCTTATTACTTCAAGATGGCTGACACCTTCAAAGAACGGAGTAACAAACGCATGACTGCAGACGCAGAGATTAAACATGCTCTGATTGAAGAGGCCTGCTGCACACAGCAGACAACACTGAGAGAATGTGGCACTCATGTGCGTGCTAATTCTCATCCAGTGTTACATAAAGTCCAATGAATGCTTGGCTTCCCCTGCCTTTGCCTCAGTTTGCATCACAACAATCAACAGCATGAAAAATTATGCCAGATTGTTGTGTTTTACAATCTCTGCTGGATGAAATGGCTTCAAGTTGTTCACGAACAGCAGAGGAATTGTTTACTCCCCTATTTACAAGGAAAGCAATGAGGAGCAGCATATATATAAATATATATATATATATATATATTTATTTATTTATATATACAGAGAGAGAGAGAAAGAGCTTTTTTATTGCCACATTTCCAACACTTCATTGACCTCTGTCTTGTAGAGGAGGTTTTTGACCTTAAGAGATTAAGAGACTGCTGTTGTCAACACACAATATCATTATCCTACCAACTAAGTCACTTAACATTTTTCAGTACGATTGTTTAAAGACTGCTATTTACTAACAGGGTTACAGGATGTTAGCATTGTCTCCACAGAAGCTCAGCTGCATTGTCTCCACTTGTTTGAATGCAGCAAAAATGGTTGTTGCAACTTTAAACTTGATTAATGTGAAGTGAAAATGAAACGCATCCCCTCTGTCTCTCTGCCTGTCTCCAGGGCCCACCTGGACCACCAGGACCTCCTGGCCCTCCAGGGGAAAAGGTAAGTGAAGATGAAGTCCTCATGTGTTATAATATATCAGTATTCTGCTCTGTGGAGTGGACGCATCTGTGTTAAAATGCGTCACCTGAAGGATGTCTGAGAAATTCTGAATCAATAAATGTCCCCCAGTCTAAATGTGGGATGCTGAAAAGAGTTCTAGCAAAGCCTTATGAATGATGAAATTAAAGCCGAGGGAGATTTGTCAAAATATAATTTTGAGAGTGCGCATAATTCTGCACTTCATGTTTGTTTTTTCAGTGCATTTGTTCCAAATCTAAAAAGCATTTTAACAGGCATCTGGGCACTTTTTAAGATCCACTTTAAATATTTGTGCATCGATGAGGCCCCTTAAATTCACTAAATAACCAACATTTGTGTCTCTTTTTCCTAAATTAGGGAGAGCTTGGATTGCCTGGGCCTGCAGGAGTAGATGGAGAAAAGGTACAAACTACACACATGCGAGACTGAATGTTTTCCAGAATTATCTATGCTTCAGAGTCAGCGTATGCACTAATGTTTAAATATTTAAAGTGGAATTATGTTTGGTGTCACGACCTTCAGGGATCCAGAGGTGATTTGGGTGAAATGGGACCTCCTGGAGAGAGAGGAGAGAAAGGAGAGATGGGCCTGTCTGGACCTTCTGTAAGTCATGACAGAAACAAACTTTCTTTTTTCTCAAAAAAGGTTTCACATGGTGAAAAGTGAAAATAACTGTTGCCTCTGTATGGATCAGGGCGTGGACGGACATAAGGGGGAAAAAGGAGACTGCCGACTGGATGACAACCTGGTTTGTTTTTAGCACACATATAAGCACACGGATGTTTGAGTCAAATTAACACAGACATGAACTCAACTAATAGTTCTAAGCAATCATTTATATTGCTTTAAATATTCTAGTAGGTTTAAAAATGACATTGAGTTTAAATACCTTAAATAGTCTCAAAAATATGAACACCTTCAGATTTTTTGCCCCACATTTGTGGGGCAAAATGTGTCTCCCAGTCCTCAGTATATTTATTTGATAGACCAACACAAAGTAGTGAACATTTTTAAAATGGGAGGAAAAATAGTTTTAAAGGTATGTTGCAGTTAAAAAAATTTAAACTGACATAAATTAGTGTGCACAGGTGTCTCCCAAACAAATCGTCTCAATTTTTCGGTCTTCTTTCCAAAAAAGCTCAAACACAGTCAGACTGGATGGAGAGCGTCTGCAAAACAGCAAATTTTAAGTCTTTTTCATGGATTCTCATTTAGATTCAGTGTCATAAAGTGTTATTCTGTACCGGGCCATTCAAACACTTGAATGTTCTTAGATCAACCATTGGCAGCCTCTAGCAGTTTTTTTTTTTTTCATTTCAAAGGCTTGTCCTGTTTTTAGCGCCACCTCATCTCCTCGTCAGCTTTTTGTTTTTGCCATGGAAACAAAAACGCTGTTCTGTGCTGCGTTTCGTCAGAGCTGCAATTCAAAGATTCAAAATCACATCCGCTCTTGACACAAACGTTATCAATCCCTCCCACCTTTCTCACTTTTTTCCCCTCATCAGATTCAGATGATCTCTCAGCCGGGCCCTCCTGGTCCCCCTGGCCCTCCAGGAATACCCGGGTCCCCAGGATCCATGGTGAGTATTTACATCCACACCCCAGTGCAGTACCTGAATTCCTGCAGGCACGGATACTGACGAGTGATGTTTTTTCAGGGTCTGCATGGTATGCCCGGTCCTAAGGTAAGCCTGAGATGCCTGTGTGTTTTGTGTGTGGAACGGAGGCTGAGGAAACATGCTGGGATTTTAACGGCTGTGCTGTCACAACGCAGGGCGAACCAGGAGCTGGGATCAAGGGAGAGAAAGGGGAGCACGGGTCTCCTGGATACAAGGTAAGTGACATATTTGCCAATATTCATACAAATAAGTCGTTTGTGTCACGCAGCACCGATTGTTTACGTTCATCTGCAGGGGCTGGACGGCCACCAGGGCCCACCTGGGGCTCCTGGGTTAGTGGGCCTTCCCGGTGCAAAGGGGGAAAAGGTAAATCAATAATAAGCTGCAATATATGTTTTATAAACCTCATTTGATTTCTGTTCAAAATAACAAGGGCGATTTTCAAATGTGTGTCTGCAGGGCCGACCAGGGGAGCCGGGACTGGATGTGAGTTTGTCGAAGTGAATTTAGTTGATGGTTGTTTTTACCTCGACTCAAACGTCTGTTGAACCTCCTCATCTTTTCTTCATTCAGGGTTTTCCGGGTCTGAGAGGAGACAAAGGTGAACGAGGAGAAAAAGGAGACAAGGTTAGTTTAGATTGTGCAGACGCAGACGTATTTTTGATTCGTTTAGAAAAACAAAGACGTAGCTTACCTTTAAATACGGAACATTTACTGAGAAAAGGAGAAATCCCTCAAAAAGAAATTGCTCTTTCAAACTAAATTACAGCTGCCATAACTATTTCTTGTCCTAATAATGCCTTTACATGAAATGCAACTGAAGTATTTGGTGAAAAAACGACATTGGGGAAACTATTTCCTGCTTTATTACCATACGTGCATAACACCATGAAGTTTTCTAAATGCTATTGGGGTTTTAACTGAAAGCATTTCCTTTGGCCAGATGATTCCAAGTTGAGGTTCTTTTACAAATATCCAGGTGCTTTTGGCCTCAAATAAAGGATGAATATGTGGAAAATCACCTTGTTGAACCTTTTAAGTTTGGTGGAGGATCTGTGATGCTGTGGGCCTGCTTTGTTTGGGGTTTTTTTCTTCTTCCAAAAACCCTGGATAAATAGACCCTCGTTATAAATCATCACATCACAACCTGTTTCAGAAACCAGAAGTTGTCATTGGTTGTTCCTGTTGAAAAGCTATTCCAAACTTTCTCCCCACTAATAAATTTACTGAAACAGAAGTTTTCCTATTCTTTTTAGTTACTAATGTAATATTTTGTTACTTTAGTGTTATAATTTCATCCTATTATCTATGCAGCTTAGTTTGTTTTTCGTTCTCTGGGTCTGACTTCTGGCTTCTTCATGCCTCAGGGTGACAGAGGGACAGTCGGGAAGAGAGGTCTGAAGGGTAACAAGGGAGAACAAGGTCCTCCAGGACTGGACCAACCCTGTCCTGTGGTATGAACTCATCCTGGATACACACACACACACACACACACACACACACACACACACACACACACACACACACACACACACACACACACACAGACACACACACACACACACACACACACACATGCTCTGTGATACCTGATATTCTCTTAATCTGTTCTATTCTTCTTTAAAGATCTTTTGTGTTTTCTGTATTCTGTGCTTCGCTCTCAGTATTTATCCTATCATTTTCTTTGAGTTTCCTCTTATGGCTGTAAATGTGTGACTGGCATCCTCTCACAGGCCTGTGATGAGAGTAAAGGTCACTCTGTGAAGGCAGGGCTTTCTTCTCCTGAAACTGCTCCTCTTCCTCCTTCTGGCCCTGAGGCCCCCTGTCCTGTGGTACAGTATTTTTCTCTCTTTACTCTACCTCCTTATGTTCACTTACTTTTCATCTATCATGTCTCGTTTTATTTATTTATTTTTCCTTTTTTTTTTCTTTAGTCAAACTATAACCTGCATAGTCCTATATCATCATAACCTTATCTATTCTCAGATAGTAAATAGTTATGGTTGCAATATGCACTGACTATATGTTGAGGTTAAGTATACTATAAAACCTGACAGCAGCTAAAAAAGATGGGACTTTCTGATGTCACATCTATAACTGTGGGTAACAAGAAGATGAATTATTCATTAAACATTCCTTTTCTGAACTTAAAAAGACAGTAGACATTACAAAAATATTAATAAATATATATTATCGATTTAATGGTTGTGGCATATGGAATTTTTTTAAAGCAAAAAATTCTTTTTTAATATGGAATTGTTTTCAAATAGAAAAAAAAATATTAAACATTTTTTGGATAATTTTTGCAGTTCTGAGTCGTCACCTTTGCTGAATTTTTTGATATTTTAAATGCGATATTATGTTTCTACACTAAAAAAATTATTTATTTCAGGGATTTTTACTCATTTTTACCCGGAAATGTGAAAGGTGCTTTAGTCTCTGATATTTACCAAAATAAAGTGTTATTTTGAGCTCTGTCCGTTTAAAGTTAAAACGATTTGCAGCACTATTACAGTTGTTTGACTTTACAAAACCACTAAGTTGCTAACATTAACTTTACACCTATGGTCTCGCCTGCAGGGACATGATGGGCTTCCAATACCAGGCTGTTTGCATAAGGTGAGCATTTGAATTTTCATTTTTAATAATTTATGCAGTTCTGAGTCGTCACCTTTGAGCTCGTTAAAGGTGCAGTTAGGGAGTAGAGAGCACAGTCAAAGTATACACAAATGACTTTTCAACTGACTTTACACATACTGACTCTAATTTAACACAGAGACAATTTGTAAGTATATTAATCTGTGCTTTTGAGTTTATAATAATGATAAAGCATGTATATCTTGCTTAATTTTTAACTTAAAAGCTAATCAGTCTTTGCTATTTTTTGTGTTTGTTTTTTTTTTCTTTGTTTTTTTTGCAGTGATGACTAACCAGCAGCATGGGACCTGTACATATTGATATGGTATATTTTGCAGCTGTGTACTACCCCAACGACCTCTTTTTCCTCCCTTTTTTAAAAAATAAAATCCTATTATATAATATATTGAAAGATAAAGAACAAGGACATTTTTAGCCTTTTTGTAAACTCACAATGCAGCGTGAAAGCAGCCATGAACTGGCAGTGGGACTTTTAGCTTGAAGGACAGTCCAAATGCAAATGTCACTGTTGGAGTAGAAGAGTGCCTCGCTAACAAAGTGTGACTGACGTGTGGTAACCACAAGTGGCATAGTGGCTGTATGATGGTGTGTGCAAATCTCACCGATGGATGGATGTTCGAAGGGATGGAATTTTTTTTTTTTTTTACGGAGGAGTTTAGAGTCAGTGCTCTCTTGTCCTCTCTCTGTGTGTGTTTTCTACAAGGAGGAAATGGTGAGGCAGAAGCTCAAACGTAAGCGTCTCTCTCAGCCCTGAGACAAACGCAGCCCCGACGGGGAGAGGACACACAAATGGGCAGAGAGAGTGAAACAAAAGGGCTTTTACTGAAGAGCTTCATTTCTGATGCCTCTGCGTCACGCTCAGATCTTGCATTACAGAGACTCTCCAGGAGGGGGCGACAGAACTCTGCATTTCCACATTCACCTCTGATGGGAAAGAAACCTGTTGCTGATGATGTTGCGCGATAGCTTGATAACCAGTTCAAGTTTTCTGGGAGTCACTGACGTCCCTGGCACATAAGGAAGGGAATTACTGGGCAGATAATTTGTTATAATAATATGTCGTATGAGATTGTTGTAAAATATTAGTGCATGGCAGTGTTGTTTAGCACCCTGAAAGCATGTGGGACTTCCATTCAAACCTTGACAATACAGAATATTAATTTTTATTTTGCAGTAAGCATTATTTACATATAAAATCCCTTCAAAACAGCATTAAGTCAACTAATGTAAAGCTTACATTTTGTGTGTTGTATTAGTTTTGCATATTGTTTTTATTTTTCTCCAGTTACAGTTTGCATTCCTGTGTATTGGTTTGATTGCCGAGTAAAATTTGAAGGAACCGTTTGCAGTATTTTGGATCAATCAGTGTTGCCGAGGGAAATAAGCGTCTTCAGCTGATGGCCTTCGAATCATCGAAGATTGCTACTTACAGTATTTTGGACAACAGTAGAAGTTTTTTTGCTGCTGACTTAAATGTGTGTTGTTGTTTTTTTTTTTTTTTCTTTTCTATATATTTGTGAATTATCTTTAGCTTTGAATTTAAGAAGAACAAGTACTTAATAATGTCATTCAAAACGATTATATATGCAATAATTCTTCACTGGTTTCAACTTTGACTGTATCTCAGCGATATGTGTCCCAGAGTTGTTGTTTTTTGTTTTGCTGTATGGATTTTTTTTTTCATTTGCAACAAAAACTATCTTTGTTATCAGGTGACATTCATTTTGTGTGATATTGTCAACAAATCTTTCTCAGACGGACTCATTTCTTGGTGCTTCAGTACTTTTTTTTTTTTTTTTTTGCAAATCTTTATCATGAACAGTGGCGGTTTTTGAATTCATGGCACCCATGGTAAACCCCCCTCTGCTACCTCAGACCAATTAAAATCAAGAACACTAAACTTCCTTTCCTGGATAATATACAGTCCTGCACAAAGCATGTAGAATACTCCTACTTTCAGCAACAAGCAGGGGGGGATAATTCTTCATTGACAGTAAATATGTAAAAACAATAAACTTATCTAATCCTCAACCTACAGAAAAGAGGTGCTTATGCCACCCCTTTCTAATGTCTCCCTGGGTAACTACCAATATGACCGAATTAAAAAAAAAAAACGCCACTGATTCACTGTCTTTTAAAACACACATCTGCAGACTTTTCAACAACCTGTTTTAAGTCGAGCTTGTTCAGCTTTGTACTTATAGATCATGAAATATGCTGAGATGTTTGGAAACATATTGGAAATATAATCCGTGTACATTGATATGTGTTATTTGATGTTTTGCCTTCATTTTACATTATACTACACGCAGTATTCTAACACTTAAAAATATTTCTGTCTCAGTGTTACTACGGTCTCAAGGAGAGTTCCCTGAATTGGTTCAGGTTTATTTGAAAGTGGAAATGTTTGTGTGGATTTAAAAGTTGTACTCACTCTTATTAAAATGTCTTCTTTTGTGTGTGTGATGGAAAAAAAATTGGGGTGTGACAAATTGCCAAGGGTGCAACCAGTTCTAGAATATTTGAACTGTATTTCAGATTAATCAGATTTTTTGATTCAGGACATTCACATTTATACAACCAGATTTAGTTAAATTTTTGCCCCTAATAGATTTGCAAAAAAAAAAAAAAGAATGAGAGGGTACACAGTATTAAACATGAGCATTTGTGCAGTTGTATTAATCTGAGATATTTTAAATATGTGTTGAGAGGAACTGGTGGTTAAAAGTGTTAATGCAGACAAGTAATAGGATCTGTAGTGCTTGAATACGCAATAATTACTCATTCAAGAGTTTCTTGAATGTGTTCATCATGTCAGTCTGTTCAGATTTTTGACTGAAAGCATCAGGTTTATACATCTTAATCTGAACAAAATCAGATCTGAAAAACTACTTAAGAAAGAGAAGTCTTCCCATTTTTCTTAATTCAAGTAGTCAAACTTGAGTCAATTAAAAAAAAAAAAAAAACATTATTTCATGTTATGCCAAAATAAGCTGGTGGTTATCTGCTTTATGTTTATTGCTTTCACAGATTCTTTCAGTACTATTTTCTTGGTATAATGAAGTTGATTTGTGATTAAAGTTTTATATTTTATCCAATCTTACCCTACAGTGTTAGTTTGACTTTGTGAGCATTGTTGCTTGTTTGTGCATTTGGTTGTAAAGGATTTCAGGTGTTTTTGTAATTACTTGTCCAATTATATGATAAAAAGCAACCTATGGTCAGTCCAACATGTAGACAATAAAGTCAAGTTTTACGATTGTTTTGTGATTTATTCAAAAACATACCAACAAGAAACACTTTTCATATTTAATAATAAAACAAATGATGCAAGATCAAGGAAACCTTTATGAAACTGGATTTTCAAAATACTGGGTAGCTTATTGATTTATGTGATAGACCAATACATTTAGCACTTATTTGTGAAATGGAGTGAATATTACACATGGTTTTCTTATTTACGCATAAAAATTTGAAAGATTTGGTTTGTATTTGCATTCAGCACCCATTTACTCCACATAAACAAAACCAGTGTACACTTCGAACAGGTTTTCTTCTGAAATGACGCTGCATTAAATTACTTTGAACAAAAGTCTCCCCAGAGTGATGTTGCCGTCAATATGTCTCCCAATGATGTGTAGGGTGAGTTGCAGTGTTAGCTTTCCACCATATATTTAGGTTTTGATTTCAGTGTCTCCTGTCGTGTGGGACAAACATCAAATTAGACTTCTTTCTAACAACGGATTCCTTCCTGCTATAAACAGAAAATATTAGGCCTCTCAACATTTACTTCTATTTAAAATGTCTTCAGATGACACTGGATTGAATGAAATTATCTTTTAATCCCCTGAGAATTATAAATGCTAAAGGCTGCAGGACAAGAACTAAAGTTGGCGAATGTAATGTAATACTGTTGTCTATTTATACAAACAGCACCCAAAATGGTTCTGTTTTTGTACGTTTTAAAGAAAGGAAATAGTACATTAAATAAGATAACAGAAGACTGTGACAGACTGTGAATGAACATAAAAGGTAATGTGACAATTGAGGTGACTGAACGTGCTAAGACACTATAAAAGCTGTGAGAGCAAGAGTATAGAGCAAAAAAACCTAAATATTTTTCTATGCTGTTTTTGTGCAGTTTTTTGTAACCTGTAATACTGTGGAATTTTTCAGATTCTTGGATTTTCTGAAAATAAAATAAAATAACACTTAATAATAATGCCCCTAATGAAACTCTTTTAAGCCAACAAAGGCATTTCAAAGTGATTTACGTCATAAAAACATACTACACCTACAGATGATGAAACAATCAATAAACATTACATTTTATCAAAGGCTATCATCAAAGTCATCAAGCAAATATACATAAAATATATTGATTAATGTTGCAGTTATTATGAATAAAAGGCGACTCTAAGCAAGTGGGAGTTTTGCCTTGATTTACAGGAACTCAGTGTTTCAGCATCTTTGTAGTTTTGTGGAAGTTTTACATTGATTTTTGGTGTGTAAAAACTGAATATTACGGAAGAGGATTAGGACCAGTGGAAAATAAAATAAAACAGTTCTGACTTTAATCTCAAAATTCTTTTTTTTCCGGATTCTCTTCCGTAGAATCCTGCTACTCCTCGTTTGAAATAAAAAAAAACTATTCAGAACCTCGCCTTAAATAGTCCTATACTTCAAAACGAGGAAAGACAACATATCCCAGAGTCCTTTGCGGAGTTCTCACCCCCTGATAGCGTTTGCATCCGGTTACGTTCTTCCTTTTCCTCCGTGCCTAGATGCGATGAGGACTTAGGTTTGCCCGAACCTGTCAAGAATCCGAATCCATCCTTGCGATAGGCACCGACAAACCTCGCCAAAATGACCGAACAGATGACAGTGAGGGGGACCCTGAAGGGCCACAGTGGATGGGTCACCCAGATCGCCACTACGCCCCAGTACCCCGACATGATTCTGTCGGCGTCCCGAGGTGAGGCTTCCCCCGCCGGCTCCGCCAACATGGCTACAGCTAGCATTGTGCGGTTAGCATCACATTTAACTAATGCTTGATAAAACAGTATGAAGACGGGGTGAATTACATGTGACAAGTGAACTGTAAAAACAGCACGGAAGAGATTTAATCTCTGTTAACACTCAGTAGTTTTCAAATGAATGGGGATATACGGCTCCATGTTGGTTAGCATATGCTATGTGGCGTCATATATTGAACAAAAATTAACTTTTCAGTACTTTTAATATGACTTAAACAGACTGAAGACTCCTACATGCATATAAACTCACCACTTCTACAGAATAAATGTTTGTATCTTACAGTATTCTTGTCTCCTGCTCCGTAAGAGCAAGTACTCCATGCTAGCTCAGCAAATATGTGCAGGTTTGTAGAGATCACCCATGAGTGAAGAATCCCGTGTGTTTATTTTGTTTCCCAGACAAGTCTATCATCATGTGGAAACTGACCCGTGATGAGACCAACTATGGCATCCCCCAGCGCTCCCTGAGGGGTCACTCTCACTTCGTGAGTGATGTTGTCATCTCCTCAGATGGCCAGTTTGCCCTCTCAGGAGCCTGGGACGGGACCCTGCGCCTGTGGGACCTTACCACGTAAGTTCTCGTCCACCTCCACCCGAAGGGTCCGAATCCAGCCTGCAGTAGTCCGTGTGCTGCATGATTTCACATGTTCCCCCAGTTTAACAAGTCTGAGTCAGGTGACTGGTTTACCAGCAGGTCTCTGCATAAGTTGTTAACACAAGGACCCTGGCTTTGGAGGACTGTAGTTTGACACGGTTGACCTACATCATTGCCTATTTCTTTTTAAACATGGAAAATAATGGATTTCCTGGAATTTAAGTCCACAAATGCATTGATTTAACTCAACAGGAAAAATGCTGTGTGATTAATGAATATTGTCCTGGTATTTTCTAACGAAACAGAAATAAGTGACTCAGCGATAGAGAGGTTTTGTATTCCTCTATTGGTACTCACTAAGCTTAGGAAACTAGCCTTGCACGAGTTTTGAAGTACAGCGTTTATGAAGCAGTTGAAACTTAAAATATGGTGAATTAGAGAAAATGTTTCAGTGCATCTGCAAATAAGGTTGCAATGATCTAAAAACTGTCTGGCATTAACTTTCTAATCTTTTTTGGGGGCTAGGGGGTTTGTAAGTTATTCTAGATTGACCATATGTAATGAATGCTTATTGTTTGTCATTTTAATTAGTTTATAGGTGTTGGGGGAAAAAGGAAGAAATCGTTCTCAAGAAAATACTCAATTTTCTAGTGTAGCTTTTTAAAATAAGAAAAATCTTGGGATTTTAGAGACAAGTAATCTTTTTTTTTTTTTTTTTTTGGTTACAATTTGTTGGATATCTTGAATTGTGAAACCGTTGATCATGATCTGCTGTGCTCCTTTCTCCACAGCGGCGCCACCACCCGCCAGTTTGTTGGACACAACAAGGATGTTTTGAGCGTGGCGTTCTCCGCTGATAACCGCCAGATTGTGTCTGGCTCTCGGGACAAGACCATCAAGCTGTGGAACACGCTTGGAGTCTGCAAGTACACCATTCAGGTGAGCCACTAGCTGATGTTACGGGTAGCAAGAAGCCTTTGTAGAATTTGCGTGAATTGACGTTTTACCAAACATATTCTCTACGTGGAATAGTCAGCAGAAACTTCAGATGACATTTCAATCGTGCTGTTAAACAAGAAACTCAAGTAGATTTTTTTTTTAATGTTAGATATGTGCTGAGGATTTATTTTTATTTTGCAGGATGAAGGCCACACTGAGTGGGTGTCTTGTGTTCGCTTCTCCCCCAATAGCAGCAACCCCATTATCGTCTCCTGCGGCTGGGACAAGATGGTCAAGGTGGGTGGATTTATCTGAAGATTCTCTTCTGCTTATGGCACTTTTGCTCAATGATTTAAAACAGTTTGCATGTATTATCCTACATACTCTCTGAGGAGATTGTTAAGTTAATGAGAGCAGAAAACTCAGCTACTTCAGATGTTGTGGTCATTGTGAACGAGCTGACCGATGTCCTGACCCCTATAGGTGTGGAACCTGGCCAACTGCAAGCTGAAGACCAACCACATCGGCCACACCGGCTACCTGAACACGGTGACCGTCTCTCCCGATGGCTCCCTGTGTGCATCTGGTGGAAAGGTAACCTGCCTTTACTTGTAGATCATCAGATGGTTTACTGTATTCATTTTGATCTGAACATCAAACTAGGCTTTCAGGTTTGCTGTGATGGAAAACTACACATGCATCTGTTAAATAGTGATGATACCAGAGGCTGTTTCTGAGCGACGGTGAAACCTGTGGATGTTGTTGGTGACGAAGGTCATGTGGAATTGGTGGGAATCGGTCATTGAAGTGTTGTCTCTGTTCTCAGGACGGTCAGGCCATGCTGTGGGACCTGAATGAGGGCAAACACCTCTACACTCTGGATAGCGGTGACATCATCAACGCCCTGTGCTTCAGCCCCAACCGTTACTGGCTCTGTGCTGCCACTGGCCCCAGCATCAAGATCTGGGTGAGTCCTCATGATTAACATCTCCTGATTAGGATAGGCAGTGATGAAACTTATACATGCTAGCTGCATTTAATGATGATATCAGAGGCTGTTTCTGAGCTTTGATCCAAGAGTTTTATTCTAAGGGAGGACGTAGTGCATTGCAACTGATCCAAATCTTCTCCCTCGTGGTTCTTGTTTTCTTGCAGGATCTGGAAGGCAAGATCATTGTGGATGAGCTGAGACAGGAAGTGATCAGCACAAACAGCAAGGCCGAACCCCCACAGTGTACTTCCTTGGCTTGGTCTGCTGATGGACAGGTATGTGATTCTCAGCTCTTCAGGCACTTTACAGACAGATTAACTGTATGTTTGCTGTTGTAGTCTTGTGGCCCCGGTGATTATACCCATTCACTTTTCATTCTGATGTTCACTGCTGACAGTCCTGCAAATATGAGGGGAGCTAGGGAAAAGAAAACACCATTATCTAACAAGCTGTTCTTATATCTAGTGTTAACTTCTCACCCTTTATTTCCCCACAGACCCTGTTTGCTGGCTACACTGACAACCTGATCAGAGTGTGGCAGGTCACTATTGGAACACGATAAGAACCCTTTGCAGAAGCAAATCTGAATAAAAAGACTGTTTAAGAAAATATATGCTGTCTCAATTTTTTGTTTGTAAATGTACATTTTAATATGGAAATAGAGCTGCACAAATTGAAAAATACATTATTCTACCACTTTGCCTGACCATCGGAACTGGTTAGCATTAAAGGAACATTAAAAACAATCCATCCAGTTTGTCAATAAAGATTGACTAGTAATATCTGAATGTATGGCACGTGAAAGACCTCCTCCCACCACTGGTGGCCCTTTTGCCCTTCTTTGTCGTAATGGGTCTCAAACCCGGACATTGAGGTAAATGATAAGCAAATTGGCTGCAATGTAGAATAAAGATAAGAACCAAACCAAGTGGATCTGTTATTTTGTGCTCCAAATCAGGATGTTATCAATAAGAAATAAAAGTACTGAATTTATATGTTCAGACCTTATTGGAGAATATATGTGTGTTAAAATGTAATCTAAACTTCCTGTGATGCTAAAAAGTTAGTAATGTGTGTAGTTGGTAAAAAGACCTGCCAACTTTACAAATTTTGATTCACATTCCAAGGATTATTTAAAAAATATTGTTGAACATCAGCTTCAGAGTACCAATAACATCTTATTTCTCCTTTTTTGAGACAAATTTAAATCACCTGCCCGCCAAACAAATGTTCCAGAATTCTTTAGTCCTGGGAGATTTAAAACTGTATGACGCTATTCACCGTTTTTGCTTTATTATTGAATATTTCAACTTATAGAAAAACGTCTTTCGAAAAAGGCATGGGTTGTCCTACGTGGCGTACCGTAGTTGTCTGGTATCATAGCAACCCACATTACCAAGAAAGTAGTCAAACAACCGCTATTTCTTTTTAATGTGTCTGCTTCAGCAGTTATTTGGCTACAAATCCTAGTTCGTGTGTAATTATTCACAGACTTCGTATTCAGCGTGTATTTTCTGTTTGAGAGCAGCAGAGGTTGCATGTTCGCGTCAGCTCGCGCAGGAAAATGGACGAGGTTTTACAACGTATTTATGTTGAAAGAACCCTGGCTATCATCAAACCTGATGTAGTTCATCAAGCCGAGGAGATCGAGAAAGTCATCCTGAAGGGAGGTTTTTTGATCCTTCAGGTTAGTAGGAATATCAAAGATTGAGGATGTTTTGTGGGTAGGAGTCTAATCAGATTAAAAGAGAATCTTCTATTGTTTTAGTGTTTCTCTGTATTCTATCTTTATACCCTATGTCCACTAGAGGGCGATGATGATCAATATTTTTGTGCTAGTTCCACTGACGGCCACTAGGGGTTGTAAAAGAGACACGGTGCTTAATTTTTCGTAGGAATGATTCAGAGGTGATCAGTTATGTTAAATGTAAATGTATAAGAAAAGGATAGGTTTAGTAATCCCTGTGTTCTGAGGCAGTATTTACATAAGATTTCTATCAACCATTTAAAACTGATGGTCCAAAGTTCAGTTCGTTTTAATGTAATTTAGGTAAAACACATTGTGTTGTTTTTCAAAGAGAGGTTTGTGTGTGTGTGTGTGTGTGTGTGTGTGTGTGTGTGTGTGTGTGTGTGTGTGTGTGTGTGTGTGTGTGTGTGTGTGTTTACATTTTCTCTTAATGGGGTTTCATTTTTACGATTACTGTACTCTTTTTAAGCCGTTTTTAAGATATCTGTATCATGATAAATACAGGGGAAAAAATGTCAAATTGCAAAATTACTATAATGTTACATATTTTAATTATTATTAATATACCAAAGTTGAATTTAAGATTGTTGTTTTCAATTAATTATGTAAAAAAAATCAGGTATTTATTTTTATTAGTTGTGACCTAAAATGTAACCTCCAACATGTTTATTACTCTCTTTAGTCTCTCTCCAAGCTTAATATTTATAAAAAACGAATGAAGAGAAATGTGGAGATTGGAAATATTCAATTCAATATATCTAATAAATTAAAGAAATAGTGGGGGGAAAAGCGTCTCATCTGTCTAAATGGACATTTAATCGATCTGCATCAGTCCTCATCAAAGTTGAGAACAAACCATAACCATGTGTCTTGCTGAACTGTCTGGAAATGAATTGTCCCTTTTGATAGAAGCGCAGGCTGCTGCTGAGTCCTGAGCAATGCAGTGAGTTTTACGTACACCAGTACGGAAAGCTCTTCTTTCCCAGCCTGACGGCCTTCATGAGCTCCGGCCCCATTGTGGTCATGACACTGGCTCGGCACAACGCCATCGCTCACTGGAAGTCCATGATCGGCCCTGACAACATGGCCGTAGCCAAAGAATCATATCCAGAGAGGTCAGTCTCAAATAATTCCAGTGTAAATAAATTATGTAAGTTCTTTAGAAGAACAATGTTGTTTGAGGTTAATTTATTACACTTTAATTTTTCTGAATAATTTTGATATTACATAGTCAATTAAAATACTTTTTTTGTCCAGCAGTGTGGTACTCAGAATTGTCTGAATGCTGTGAAGATCTGTTGGTTTTCCTTTCGCTTAATGCTGTTTTCTTTTGACTCCATGTGCTGCTGGTGTTTCTGTTTCAAAGCCTTACTGTCTCTTTCTCTCCAGCCTTCGAGCAATATACGGAACTTCTGACCTAAAGAACGGTCTTCATGGCAGCGACTCGTTTTTAGCAGCAGTGAGGGAGATTAGATTTATGTTTCCCAACAGTACGTAATTTGCTCTGTCAAAATTACTGTTGCTCATAAGCGTATGAAGTGCTGATCTCCTTGTGATTTCTCTCTGCAGCTATAATTGAACCCTTTCAGTCTAAAGAACAAACCGAAGAGTACTTGAGCATGAATGTGATCCCCGTTCTCCTGCGTGGACTTACTGAGCTCTGTAAGGAAAAGCCTCTCCGCCCCTGCGTAAGTCCTGATGCTCAGTATTTACGCAGTGTATTGTATTATAAGTACAACGTTGTGAGCTTGTGCATCTTTTCTCTTCTCATTAGATTTGGCTTGCTGACTGGCTACTGAATAATGATCCAAGCCAGCCTAAAATAAATAATGGTTGATAAAAAGTGAAGATAAAAAGTGACATCCAGGAGCCTGATTGCTGTTTTCCCTTTTGATTGTTTCTGGCAAATTCATGTGTTCAGTATCATATATGCAAATATATGGATACTTGGTAGCAGTAAAGAGCTTTGTTGATTTTCTCTTGTAGATCAAAAAATTCTTCTAGCATGTTGATATTAGTGATTAAGCAGTGTGTTTAAACTCCATATCTAAAACAATATTGTAAAATGAAATAGATAAAACACTGTAACATATTTTCAACTGACATGGTTTTGCAATAACTCTTTTTATCATCCTTTGCAGAGCCTTAAAATTCCAATAAATTTAATTGAGTAATCTCACTAAAACTAAAAAGGATTTTAATCAAAACTCTATGGTTAAAATGAATTAATATGTTCTGTCAAAATCAGCACTGATCCAGACATGGCTGTTCGTATCAGAGAAGGGACAGCTAATCCAAATAGCCTCTTTTTTTTCTTTTTTTTTGTTTGCTGAAATGCCTTAAGATGACATGTGTAGTGAATTGATGTTACAGAAATAAACTATGTTGTATTAGAAGAAAAACATGACGGTTTCACAATTATGCCACTTAATGTTCATATGGTCTAGTCAAATCCCTTATCTAAATCTCACCGAAAATCAGAAGAAAGACTTAAAAGTTGGTCAATACATGCTCTCCATCCAATCTGACAGAACTTTATCTATGATGCAAAAAATGGTCGAAATCTTCAGTCTCATTGTTCACATGACAACGCTTTGAAAATGAATTATAATTTTTCTGCTGCTTCACAAGTTTGCACTGCTTTGTCTTGTCCTGTTACATAAAATCTCAATCAAATTAAGGGAAGTTTCTGTCTGTCATGCCGTGTGAGAAAATGTAAAAAAATAAATAAATAAAATAATATAATGTTCAAGGGGTTTGTTTACTATCTCAATAAATTGTATCCTCTTATAATCAAATCAACTTACATTGGAAAGTTTTTAAAAGAGAAGTGACAGTCATTTTCAATCCATACATGCATATCATAGGCAGCAGCTTTATTAAAGACACAAATAGATCCATAGAATATTTTAATTACTGTTTATTTGCCCCGTCTTGATTTGTTTTCTCTTTACTCTTACAGAGCGGTTGCTATAATGTCAACACATCATTGGTTTGTGCCTTTTGTCAAATGAAATTGATTATGTTGATGTATTTCATGTAAAAAATAAAAAATAAAATAGCGATGGCTATTTCACTTCTCCGGGGAACTAATTTCCAGCGCTTCAAAAAGGTTCATTGAGTTCCTTCCTGTGTTGTAAGAGGGCGTCAACGACTCTGTGAAAGAAGAAAAAGTCGCCGTTTGTGATTGGTCAGCGCTGGGAATGACAATCAAATGTAACCAATCAGATGGCTCCTTTGCATAAATGCATTTTCCCCCCCTTTGCCGCTTCTAAAAAACCAACCACGAGTTGTCGTCGTGTGGGAGAATCCATCTTGAAGAGAGCTCCTCGGCCGTACGACCAGTAAGTACACCTTCGTTTCTCTCCTAACATGCTTGTATTTGATATTGACAGATGCCGCATAGTTTGTTGTGTATTTTCTTCGAACTGTTCAATGTTTTCGAGCGCAGTGAAATAAATGCTGCAGCGCAATAACGGCCTACGTTTCGCGCAGCTCGGCCTCGGACTTACGTAATTGCGAATTTCAATTCAGACTTTATCAGTATGATTCAGGAGGTTTTCTAATCTTTGCTGCCAGATGGGTAGCGCTGCAGATAGTAGGTGGTTGCTCTTTAAAGTACCAAAAAGAGCCATTAAAATGTCAGCCAGTCTTCCTGTGTGAGTGCGTGAAGCGCAGTGTCGCCGGTCAAAATGGTGGGAAAAGCGTAAATTGGCATCTAGTAAATGGCGAAGCGCACAAGGGCTGAGTGTTTGTGAAAGCGTCGCTTATGAAAGCGACTCATCGCGAGCCGTCTCTGTGCTTCCCAGGCGTAGAAGTTCAAAATGTCTGAGGCAGAGCAGCAGTACATGGAGACGTCGGAAAACGGCCACGAAGCGGAGGACGATTTTAACGGAGGAGGAAACGACGGCGGCGCCGAGAATGACTGCGGACAAGGTGCGGAGACCGATCCGGACGGCAGCTCGCAGGACGGCGGCCAGATCGACGCCAGCAAGGGCGAAGAAGACGCTGGGTGAGTTTAGGTCGACATTTTAGGGGGTTTCCAGCTTAAAAGGTAGCCATAATAAGCACTGTTGCTTTACTACTATGCTTCTTTGTTCAGCCGGCCTTTTGTTGGCGCCATGTGCCGAGTGGAGGGAGGGGGATGGGCGTCACAGCAGAGATTAAACCATTCAATACTAGCTGATGAAAGATTACAGCTACATGTCTGATATTCTGCAAAACTCCAAACTTTTAATTTATCGAAGCGTTGTCGTAAACGTCCTCTAAAGCTTCGTCTAAGTATGCCCCCTCCCCCATGTGTTGCTGGATCAACAGATGTGCTGGAACATGGTGTACATAATGTATATTTTTCCCCGCCCCCTTTTCCTAGGACAATTCCTGCATAATAATTTTCACAGGAATTTTTGTGTAGTAGTTTACGCAAAAATTTAAGAATTTTTGTGTAAATTATTAAACGAAAAGGGTCAAAACGTGAGAACGGTTTATCAAGAAAGTTTTAATATCGGAGATAAGTAAATAAAACAATCTATTTTTGTGTAAAACAATGAGAGAAGTTTCGCTTCTCCTTATTAAATGTTCTGTTGACTGTCACTAACCAAGTTTAATTCTGTTAGCCACACCCAGGCCTTATTAATGCCAGGATGGTGGTTTAGGAAATTACTTAAATTAGCATACTAAATCTGAACATCACTAACTTAAACACAGGGGGACAAAAGAACCCAAAGCAATGTCCAAAGCACTGAAAGCTTCACTTGCCTCGCAACACGAGAGATAAATGGCATCCACAAGATCTTGTTACCCAAAAGACATATTTATGATTTAGGATGTTCGGCAGAGTGACTAAACTAAAGAGAAACTGAAAGTTGTGCGTCACATCTGTTGTAGACATAAGCACATAGAATTTCAGGAATGGATCTTTCTGCCAAACGTGGTGGTGGTCGTGTGATGGGCTGGAGCTACTTTGGTGCTTCTTAACTGGAAGGAATTGCCATAATTTATGAATAAATAAATTATGTATTTTAATAAAACACTTGGTTAGAAAAACAGCCATTGGTTTGGTTCAATACTTTGGTTACACAGTGAGCCAATTACCTTAGGCAGACCTGCAAGCCTTCCCCTGAAAGGCTCAAATTACACTAAATGAAGGGGTTAAGGTGTCCTAATCAAAGTATGGATTTAAATCTACAAATTAGATGTCAACTTCCTAACAAAATAAAATCATGTTGGATGATAATATTAGCATCCAGGCTGAAAATGCACAATTAAATATTGAAGTGAAAAGTTATTTATACTTTTTAAATAAGTATTAATAAATGATGTATACTCGTATAAATATATACACTTCTATTTACACTGTTTTCAGTGTAATGTCAACCATGCAGAGTAGAATGAATGGGGAAGAAATGTTCATTTCCTGGCTAATTTGATGATCTTTAGTGGAAAGGTAAAGTGACCGAAAGCTTATGCAGACCTGTAATCTGGTCTGCCTAAATGTTTGACAAATTTGACCTCTTATTTATTTTGTGGAAATGTGGTCCAAGTTTTTAGCCAAATCCTCTATTCACTGTAATTCTCACTGTGCATTTGGCTAACTATGTTTGTATTTTATTTTGTTTTCAGCAAAATGTTTGTTGGCGGGCTAAGCTGGGACACAAGCAAAAAGGATCTGAAGGATTACTTCTCAAAGTTTGGAGAGGTGACAGACTGCACTATTAAGATGGACCAGCAGACGGGTCGGTCAAGGGGATTTGGCTTCATTCTCTTTAAGGACTCGGCGAGTGTAGACAAGGTAAGGAAGGACACAAGATGAGTTCCATTAGAATTAATGTAAGACTTTCTAGAATCACTGATTTAAATTCAACACCTACCTCAATTATAAAAACACTTTAACTTTGTGTTTTTAATCTGGCATGACTCCATTGCTTCTATATTAGTGTTATTTAACTTAAACACCTTTAAATGCAAGTGGGGAAACCACAAAATGAATTTTGATAACTAGCTGTTCAAATGTACGAAGTAAATAAAGCTGTTGATGGCAGACAGTATAACACACACCTGTTGATTTATATTGCCTTAAAAATATTCAAATGAGCCAATTCCAGAAACAGATTATTTGTTATAGGGAGGGGGGATCATTATAAATCTAAAATACAAGCAATGTTCTTATTGGAAGTGTTTGTATGATTTCCATGTGGCGGTTAATATCAAATGTTTGTCTTTTGCAGGTTCTTGAGCAGAAGGAGCACAGGTTAGACGGCAGACAGATTGACCCCAAGAGAGCTATGGCCATGAAGAAGGAGCCAGTAAAGAAAATCTTTGTTGGAGGCCTTAACCCGGACACCGCCAAGGAAGTCATCGAAGAATACTTCGGGACCTTTGGAGAGGTACAACAAGCATTCTATTGACTTCAGATGGTTGAGAATGTAAGCAAGCATGAAATTGCTGGTTGTTTCACAAAGTATTTTTTGGGTTTTTTTGTAGATTGAGACAATTGAACTTCCACAAGATCCAAAGACTGAGAAGAGGAGAGGATTTGTATTTATTACGTATAAAGAGGAGCCTTCTGTCAAGAAAGTTATGGAGAAGAAGTATCATACCGTCGGTGGAAGCAAGGTAAAACCCTATGACAGATTACTGGTGATTGGTGTCAGGTGGCTACATTTCAAAAAATGTCCTTCCTCTCAAAAACCTGTGCTATTGTTTTTACAGTGTGAAATAAAAATTGCCCAGCCCAAAGAGGTCTACATGCAGCAGCAGTACGGTGCCCGGGGATACGGAGGCCGTGGCAGGGGACGTGGAGGTGAGGCATTCCATCACATTTGGCGAAACCTCGTTCTCTTTTCAGCTCCATCTGCTCTGAAACTGAGTTGTGACGAAGGCCTCACCTATTGTTTCTAGGCCAGGGCCAGAACTGGAATCAAGGATACAACAACTACTGGAACCAGGGATACAACCAGGGCTATGGTTATGGACAGCAGGGCTATGGATACGGTGGCTATGGCAACTATGACTACTCTGCTGGTTATTACGGCTATGGGGGTGGCTACGATTACAGTAAGCGATAAGTGCCCCCAGGGAAAGACACTGAATGAGAGAAACTTTATTTTCTTGGTCCTCCTTGTTGTACAGAAGAACTCAGTCCCTTTTTCTCTTGTCCTCCAGACCAGGGCAATACAAGCTATGGGAAAACTCCAAGACGTGGAGGCCACCAGAGTAGCTACAAGCCATACTGATCACACGTAGTGCAGGTATGCATTCTTGCATCATCCGTGGTAGTATGAGATCGTAGCTATAACCATTAGTGCCTTTTGGCCCCACAAAGAGCTCCATCTACACTAAATCCATTCAACCATTGTGGTGGGGTTATAGTAGGGCGTGATGAGGGGTCTGGGATCATTAAAGATGGATTCATTCCACCTGTCTGCCATCTTGAGATGCATCTCTACAAAGCCTACTTGATCAGTAAGGATTTGTGGTGGTCCAGAAAAGAAATGAGGACTGATCTGATCAGCTAGCAGCCGTGTCCCCCGCCCGCCCCCTTCCCGTCCCAAAATGTTTGTCATTCACTTTATTTGTCAAATTCATTCATGCACCTGTCTGTCTCTGTGTAACTGCATGCCACGCTCGGTTAAATCTCAGTAACGTAAAGCACCGTGTTTTTCCTCCTAAGGTCTAAAGTAAATAAGAAAGAGATCCATGGTCTGACCACAGCGAACATGGGCTCTGGCTTTTCCTTTGGAGTTGGCAGAAATTTGGACTCATGCTCCATTTGTACAGATCAAGTGAGGAACTGGGGAAGCAAATGTCACTTTTCCACTTTTTTTTTTTTTTTTTTTTTTATTTTATATTGTTTTGTGTCCATTTACATTTCCAGTGATGGAAGTGTTATTTTTACTGTACTTTTTGGTACCCTTTTTGAATCTAATGTATTGTATGGTTGTATTTTTACATGTCGACTGGAATTACAGACGAGCAGGAGCAAAGAGCTTTGAAAAGCTCTCAAATAAAACAATATTGCTTTTTTGTTCTGTGTGTTTCTAGATTTTTAGTTCTGTTCTCCCATGCTGAGTGTTGGAAATGAGTTGCATGGCTTCAGATATGGGGTGAAGTGATTTAAAAAGGGATTTACACTAATCAAAGGGTTCTTTAAAAGATGCCAAGTGAGTGCTTTCGGGGGCTTGTAGAAAACAACCAGCATTTATTTCGTTTTTGTTTTATTTCTTTGGGTTTTTTTGCTTTTAAGAAAGTTTCTCCCCACCATGTCTGCAATTTTTAAGTGGCTTTATTAGTGTTATTCAACTTGAACGCAAGCCTGTTATAATGTAAGAGGGTAACTCCTCTGTCACTGGATACTCATTCCTCTAGTGTCTTGGGCAAATTGATAGAAATAAAAATTTGGTTTATATTACACATGGATCTTTTGGTTATTTTTTTGTAAAGTTAATGTTAAATGTCCTGTTTAATGTACTGTTAAAGGTAGATTGGCTTGCATGTTTTGCTTCGAGTAATGACATCTCCTTGGATTCCCGTTTGAGGAGATGTGGCAGAGGGCTTCTCTACCTGTTAATACCCAACCGCACTTAATGTGAACCTGGAACACTTGAGCTTTTGTAACAATGTATCCATCAGTTAAAGATGGTCTGGTAAGTGCTTAACTGGGCCTACTGTGTATTGATATGTTTTGGATACGTATGATGAAGCTGCATTATTTAAATTATGGCTGCTGTGGGCAAGAGAACAGGCAATGTGATAAAGAATTTAAACTTTTATTTCCATGATTTAGTTGACATTTTTCATTTACTTTAGAAAAAGGTTATATGATAAGGTAAAGATACTGATCACATGCTCTGCAAAAATCTATACCATGAATTTGACGCTGAGCACCCAAAACAATATTTTACCATGAAAATGTAGCTTCAAGAGAACTCAACGCCCAAATCCTTTACAATGTATTTCGATTGGGTTTTGACCCACATTTTATACTTGATGTACCAGAAAAGTCTTGAAGTCCCACAGCAGTCAGTGTTTTAGGGGGAAATGCCACCTCTGAAATGACCTGAAAGCCTGTCACATCTGCAGCAGCCTGAAGTGTGGATAATCTCTACCTCTGAACAACTTCATGAATGTGACATCTTGACAATGTTGAATGCAATTAAAGGTTTTCTACAGGTTTGGCAAACTTTTAGATGTCTTCATTTTCCAGTTTGAGATTCTTGGCCTCCATGTCTGCGAAGAGGAAAACCAATATGTCACTTATAGCAGATCAATTTATTCTGAAGGCTTTCTTTCCCCCTGTGTTAACATTACTGGTAAATAAGTATCTCAAGTAGATATCAGTGAAATTTCATTAAAATGGTAAATCCAGCAATACAGTTCAACTTCAGTTAATTTCAATGATGGGACACAGGCTGATACCCTTCATGCTACATGACATTGATTCAGTAATCCATGCAGAAAGATATATTCTACGTTTTAGGAAAATGCTGTAAAGTATGCAGTTAGCCTGTTTGCTAACCTTCAGTAAATTAGCTGTTGGTTTACATAACATGTTTACTGCTAATGTAAAAGTGGAGCTTGTGCTACAAACCTGTGAGGATGCGGTCAATGCACTGAACAACCAGCTCTGAGTCTTCTATACTGAAGCACATGGGAGGCTTAAACTTCAGGACATTTTCCCAGGGGCCATCTGTGCTAACACAAATTCGATCTTCTTCCTTTAACCTGGTATAAAGAAGACATCAAATGACTAGGATGAAGGTTAAAATACAACAGCACAATCAGCTCTTTGTTGGTCTTCCTTTTATACTCAGGAGAATTCAGAAAAATCAATTTGTAATTTCTACTTTTCGATTTGTTAAATCAGTTTTCCACAGTTCAACTTATGACGCTTTCCTTGTCATTGTTTACAAAAAAAAAAACTGTCAAAACAAAATTATAAAGTAATTGTGCTAGTTATTAAGCACAATAATTGGCACACTCCATTTAGTTCTCCAACTTTCACCTGAAACATGTTTTAAGTAGTGAGCCATTTATCAGGTACATGGAGGAGAGCATCATCCCATACCTCTTTACCACCCACGCTGCAGTTTTAGTGGCAGGAGTTTTAGTTTGTCTGTCTGTAACCAGCTCGAGTCCAACAAAAAAACCAACCCCGCTAAAAGTAAGAAAGCAGAAACAGATGTTTTCAAAAAATAGCTTTTGTAACTTCAATTTGAAGTGATAATTGTACCGTTGGTACTTTGCAACAGCTTTATGGTATGAAATGTAAACCAAGCATTGTAGAACTAAATGTGCTTTATTAGTCGTAGAGGACATTTTATTGTTGTATGTATAAACAGTGAGAAAATGGAAGAATATGCACCCTCACCGGACATCTCCAATTGTTTCATGTCTTTGTTGTAGATTTTTTAGCAGATCTTTGAGATGTGCTCCCACCCTTATGGCATTTCCTCTTAGATCTTCCTTCTCAATTACATCAAGAAGTGCCAAGCCAATGGCACATGACACTGGATTGCCTCCAAACTGCATTACAAAAGAAAAAATTCATAAAATCAATACAAAGCTCTTTCAAATAGGAATAAACACAACCTAAAAGGACATATTCATCTGACATCTGTAAGGAAATCGGTCTTAAAAGCATCTATGTTTCTTTCTACAAATGTAAGTTAGTAAGATGGTTGTCGCTATAATATTTCCGAATGATCACCGTATTGAAGTACTCCACTCCATTAGCAGTGAAAGCTCCGGCTATCTCCGCAGTAGTTGCCACACATGCCAGAGGATGACCGTTACCCATCGGCTTCCCCATGGTCACAATATCTGGGCAGAAATTCTCTCCCTGAAGCTGAAAAGCCCAAAAATGAGTCCCAGTTCGTCCAAAACCTGTCTGAACTTCGTCTGCAACAAATACTCCACCAGCGGAGCGCACATATCTGTGGAGGGTAAAAGTACAGAGTCACCATCCTATCTAGACTGGGGCAAAGAAACGTCAGCAAGTAGATCCGTACTGACTCTGCGACTTTAGAGAAGTATCCCTGGGGCAAGATGATTTGTCCCCCAACACTGGGTAAGGACTCGGCAAAGAAGGCTGCAATCTAAGGTAGAAAGAGTAATAAACATAACATAAAGGGTATGTATGTGTGTTGTTCACAATATTGCCTATTTTACCACTGAAACATAAAGAGGGACTAAAATGTACCTTTCGACCTTTTTTATTGATCTCCTCTATCAAGTGTTTCACTGTATCAGCATAAGCTTGGCCTGGACTGGGATGCTCCTCTCTATATATGCCTCTGTAGGTGTCAGGTAAGGGAGCCTGGGAGGACAAATTGCAATATTTCAGACAAGCAGAAATACAATGTTTTTCTTTTACAGTTTGCATACTAAGAGTTGTATATATTTACACACCACATGAACCCATTCTTTCTGTCCTGCCAGTTTCCGGAACTTGTAAGGACTAATGTCGATGAGTGACTTTAGATGCCCATGGTATGCACTGGTGTGGAAGGAATGTTTATTATATTCAAAAGGTGTGTTTTTTTTTTCTGTAATATGTTGCTCAGGAGTTGAGATTCTTACTGATCTAGCACTACGACGTCCTCATGTTGGGTGTACTGCTCTGCCAGGCGGAGGGCCAGATCGTTGGCCTCTGACCTGTCAGAGAAGCAAATTTGATCACTGACATGTCCCTTAGGGAATGTGACTCCTCGAAGCTTCAGACAGATTTCTTACCCAGAGTTCACAAAATAGAAGACAGACAGTTTCTTGGGCAAGGTAGCTGCCAGGCGATCTGCATACAGGACTATGTTGTCATGGAGAAAGCGTGTATTTGCATTCAGGAGGTCCATTTGAGCCGTAGCAGCCTTTGTTATAGCGGGGTGACAATGTCCCACTGCAGGAAACACAATTCATTTGTTCACATCTTTTTTTTTTTCTTTAAAAGCTTCAACGATAATTTATCTACTGTGACTTTATGTGTGCATAATTAAGAAGTAGAATGAAGAGAATAAGTAGTTTTCAGGGGACAGAGCTGTTTTTGTTTTACTTTTACAAAAAATAAAATATGAAAATTGCACCATACATTTTATATTTAGAACCCTTTAGTCCACAAGTCTGTGAATGAGGAAATACTTTTGACAGATTTTTTTAAAAAAATGACAGTAGAGGCACTTCCTGCCACCAGGTGACAGTAGTGCAACGTGTATAGAAAAGATCAACATACAGAAACTTGAAACTTTACCATGCTGGACGTTACTGATGCAATCCAGATAGCGTTTGCCATTTTCATCAAACAGATACTGTCCTCTGGCTTTGACTATCTTCACAGGGGCTTCTGAATAGAAGAGTCTGCACGACTGGCTATGATTAAAGAAGCACAAGTCGGCGGTGAGCTGCGTAGAATATTACCCATCAATGAATTAAAACATTAAGAGCTTTGATTTTACATACCCAATTAACCGCTGCCTCATTTCGAGGGTTTCTTCTTTCCTGAATATTTCCTCAGCCATGTCTCCTCTTGTTTCGTCAGTTTAACTCACACAAAGCTACAACTGAAGCACTGAACGGTTGGCTACATGCCCACGGCTACCACTCATTTCATTAAACCATTTAACAAAACATTTTGCCATCGCCACTGGTGTGCAAAGTCAAAACAACCACCGCACATGCGCAGATGCCCAGTTGGTGTTTTAAGTTAACCCGGTTTTGACAAATGTATGTTTTTACGAACAAATTCTTGTAAGCTAATTAAAAAGAATGTTTGTGTTGCTACTTTTTCTTTTTAATAGCATACAAGAAAGGAGAGAGACTTTGAGTAAGTTTTTAAAAAATGGTTCTGTACCTTTAATTCGAACGGTACAACTGTGAGTAGTAAGGGACAGCCGTGAAAAAACGCTGTAGCATACTACACTACTTTTATTATGTTACTGTAAAAACACCAACGTATAATCAGAATAATCATGTGCTACATTTTGCTTCATCAGTTTGCTAAAAGTCATTTTGGTAAAACGTCGTCCTCAGACGTTCTTTTGCGTTGGTATCGCCCAAAGGCTATAAATACTCTGCGACTCAGTTGCTCGCTTGGCCGTGCGAGTTTCGGTTGCTAAGGAACCACAGAAAGCAGGTAATGCATCAGGTCAGCTGTAGCGTGCTAGCTCTTAGAGCGGCTGCGTGACCGAGATATGAGCCGGTAAATTTAGGAACAGCGTGTTTTCACAGTCTTGGTAAACTATGTCAGCGAATGAACGGTTCTCTGTTGGCAGTAAGTGGTTGAGCTGGAAGAAGTGACACCAGCCATTGAAGTTGGCACACTTGTTATCCTATAAGCTTGCTAACGTAACCGGCTAATAACTTGATGTCTCACGGTCTGCATCGTGTTAAGCTAGCTTGCTCCCCAGCTACAGCGTGTAGTAGATTTACCCAGAACAAAATCTTATCAACTGGATAAAATATTTACTGCAGTTAGTATCAGATATCGATTTTAGCAATTTTCTTAAGAAATGAGCGACCTGCGCCAGCACGTTAAAAAGCTCATAGCTTTGGATATTGCAGAACACCCAAATTACATTTTCGCATGAAGTCTCTTTTAAATTCTAATATTCATCTATCACGATTTTAAGCACACGCTGTTGTTATCAAGTGTATATTCAAACTTGCTAATCTAATGAATTGTGTGCTAACTTTGAATTAGCTGACGATTGCTTGCAGCAATGTCTTTTTTTTATATAGTTCCCCCCCACCCCCAGAGCTGTTGCCACATGATTAGGTCTGGTGAAACCTTTTGACTTGTGGCATGTGAAACCAGGCTAGCAAGGTAGCACCTAGGTTTGTCATGAGATGGCAGTAATTTGGAGGCCAAATTACAAAGTCAGCAGTCTTGTAAAGTTTCATTAGCCGTGAATGTCACTGAATGATTTAATTATGACTATGGAAGTTTCAAGTATTTACACAGAAACGGTTTATTCTGTCTCTGTTGGCACTAGTTTAGGCACTAAATGTACTTTAGCCTTTGCACTCTTAAACACCAGGGCAAATGCTACAAGGCCATTCTTTATTTCAATTCAACTGCCATATTGTATTTTTTATTTACTTTTAGTTTGAGAAGTTGCTTGAAGATTTGTCGCATTTCTGTTCTTGTGCCAACATAGGTTAATCTTTAGGAAAAGAAGTTGATTCATTGACACTCAGTGGTTTAAAACTTGCACAAAAAGGTGACATGGAAGGAATGTGCTACTGAATAGGAAGCACAGTCCCTCGTGGCCTACTGATTTCGCCTTGTTTTTTTTTTCAGTTTTAAGTGCATCTGTGCCACCTAGTCAGTTTTTCCTCCTTGCCTTGCAGAGATACTATGACATATTTTGAACCTCTGTCCCATTCATTTTCTACACACTTCCCCCCTCATCCTTTCCTTTTTTTGGATTCTCCCTCCCCCTTCCAATCTCTGGAGCACCCACAACTCTTGGAAGTAATTGAAGCTTATCAGATCTAACCAACATGACCAGCCTTTACATCATACCTTAGTTTTTCCACTTTTTACTCATTCTTAAATATCACTATTTTGAGTTCCTTGTTTTCTTTCTTTTGTTTTAATGGGCGTGCACGCTTTCTTTGATGGAATGTGAATTACTTCTTTGTTCAGGGCCTCCTTATGTCCCCGTGTGCTCTCTGCCTTTGTGAACATGAACTTCTCCCTTTCATATGTGATGTGAATGACGCAGCTCAGAGATCCCAGCTTAGATGTTGTGCAGAAATATGCATTCGACATTCATGCATTCTGTTCCTCTCTGTGTGGGTTTATTAAGATATTAATTGCACCTTCTCTGTTGTTACTGTTTTGGTTAATGATTGTTTCAATCTATAATTCTCTGTCCCTTCAGGTGGCCTAGACATGAGAATGGTATAGTTAGAAGGCTGGTCAGTCTGGCTGGTTGAGGTGTGGAGGGGACACCACAGACCACGCCAGAGTCCTGACTGAATAAAATTTTTAAAAAATCACTACCCTCGGTGGATCTGCCGTCTCCATGCATCTTCTTGGACTGCAATTATGGTTACACTTATCACAGAGCAGCTCTGTAAGCAGAGTTTAGAGGAACCTTATCACAAGGCTTTCACATTCAATGCCAGTGTGGTAAGTTGAGAAATAATAATGAACTGAAATGGCTTTGATGCAATTTAGTTGGGTGTTTGTTTTTAAAGTTAAGTTGTTGCATTTGTTGCAGTCTTTGCCTGCAGTGGGCTCAAGTCCATCCATTTCATGGAGTTCTGGCAAAACAACACAAGGTAAATAAGAACAATGTAGAAGATATGCTTTGGCTGTTATGGTCACCAGTCTTATATCTTTCTTTTCTCACTATTAGAAGCCAGCTCAGACACACACCAGTCATGCAAAACACATGTTTTGGCTGACTCGTGTGATCCTTGGCCCCGCTCGTGCTCTGGAGAGCCACTCCAGGGACCAGAGGTTTCTCTTACAAACAAATCCTTCCAAAGTTCACCCCCGCCACCTCCAAAACGCCACTGCCGCTCCCTCTCTGTTCCAGAGGACCTGTCCCAGTGCCGCTCCACTTGGCACCCAAGCGCATCAAAGGTCTGGACTCCGGTTAAACGGGGCTGCCACAGTCAAGGAGCATCTAGTTCAGGCTCTGGAGCCAGTTCTTTGCTTCTTTGTGGTCCCAGTTCTTCCTTCACCTCCTCCTCTTTACACTCGTCTAGCCCTAACTTCTTTAGTTTAGCACTGTCTTCTGACTCTTCCTTGTCCTGTGGCTTCCCATGGGATCCCTGTGACACCTTGAAAGGTGCTTGCTCTGCCTCGCTTGCTACACCTTCCTCTTGCTCCTCTTCGCCAGCTCCTCTGGTTTCTCATTCTATCCTGCACCGTCGCTTCTCCCTTTCCCCCGTGCACATTCAGATCGCTTCTGTGGCGTCCTTGCACCTTCAGCCTTCCCCAGCTCATGCTCTGGCACACAGCTTTTCTGGCCCAGAGCATCCTTCCCTGTGTCCATCTCCCACTTCAGCTTGCAGTACTCCATCCTGCTCTCGGCGGGACTTGCACCCCGCACTGCCACGGTGCCACTCGCAGCCCTGCGACATGCGCAAACCCCGGCTGAAGAGGCGCCATGACCCGGATGTCCTTCCTTGCTCCCGGCCAGGGCTGGACTTCAGCAAAATGACGCAGGTGAGAAAAGCAGGGACGCTCCTGAAAGATTGTTTTGTCAGCTTCTTTCTCTTCTTTCTCAATTGGGAGCACAGTGGGTTTTGCATGGTTGAGGTCAATTTTACACACTTTAATGTTTTTGGGGATTTCACTTGACATCAATACAAAGTAGCGCTTAATTGTGAAGCAGATTTATTTATTTTAGCTAATCCGAAAGGTGTGATGCGTGTACTTACGATACTTTGTGGTACTATTGTGAAAGCGATAAAGAACAATTTATTACTCTGTTTTTAGGAAACTTCACAGCTGTGACTGCAGGTCACAGGTATCATAGTCTCACAAACACTGCCCTCGAAAAACAATCCATTTGTAATATGCTTCTCTAGGACATGAGTCATATAAAGATATGTGATTTGTATCACTAAACTGCACACAGTAACTGTTAATCGACCCCTAGTCTCTCATTCATAACCTATAAATTGTGATAAATATCATTTTTGAACTGTTTATGAAAGATAATTTTTTATGGAAATTTTTTTTTTCTCCTGGGAATTTAGAACTTTTGGGACTCCATAGTACCCAGATCAATGGCTGATTTGTTGAGTGAAATAAAATAAAGCCGTATGCAATTTGACAACATTCAAGAGGAAAATATATTTGGGTTATTTTCTGTTAAATAACCTGTACACCAGTCCAAAAGATGAGTTAGTGTACATGTTTTATGTGTTAGGCACAGAGAGGGAGTGTGTAATTTAAGCTCATATTAGGCCTTTGTCAAAGTGCTGACTGAAAAATTTCAGATTGGAAATGCTGGGCTCCAATCAAAATCCTATAGTCTCTAAGCAATCCATTTCTAAAGAAAGAAAGGGGAAAAAAATAAAACCCGCTGACAATGCATCGCCCAGCGATCTGTCTGGGCCTGTTCTAGTCAGAAGCGTTGATGCTTTTTAAACTATGACTGACATCCAGTAATCTGCACACCCTGCGTGCCACCACCTTGTTTCTCACAGGGACGCTGTGGCTCACAGGGGTATTATTTTCTCTCTCACCTGATGGACAATGCTTTATAGGTTTACTGTTGCACCAAATGTTCTTGATCAAATAGCGCTTCAGCAAAACTCGTGAAATTATTTTACAACCCAACCGTGGTTTAAACGTCTTGACTATATGCCGGACTTATTTTTGGTCTTCTTTGGTCCTCATAGAACAACATTTAAACGTACAGGCTTTTTAGTTTTCTGCTGTTCACCTCTATTTGTGAGAATTTGTCTGGTAATTTTTGTAAACCTTCCTTCTCCTGTGCAGATGGGTAATTACGAGAGCCTGGTGGGTGGAACAGGTGGTGGCATATTTCCAGTGTCTTCTCAATCAGAGCAGCGCTCGGCCTTCTCCCCTGCTGAATTCCTGGGAAGAACCAGTATCGGTCCACTGAGTGAAAGTGAAGAGGAGGAGGAGGAAGAAGAGTGTAAAATAACTGTTTTATCTGTTGGAAAAAATGATATTTTTGAAAGAGACTGTTCAGATTTGGACTTGAGCCTCATAGAAGAAAACTGACCATTATTCGGTGCTTACAGTAACTACTGTGTTCATAACCATGTAAAGCACACATGTTGGCTTCTGGCAGAGCCTTTTGGGAACAACCTACTCTTACTGTCCTGAGTTAATGATTAAGAGCTGGGGAAGTTGGAGCCAATTTCCAGTTAGATTGCAGTGATTGTGTCAACTCACTTCTCAAACTTTAACAAAAAAACAAACCAAACAAAAAAAAACAAAACATTAGTGCCTGCCTGTTCAGCCCTACTTATGGGAAAAGCGCATGAGCAAAGACGCAGTTTTTCATGTGAGCAGCACACTTAACCATTTTGAATCAACATGAGTCTTAATGTGATTCACCACATCTCAGTCGTCTTTCACAGCCTGATGGACGCTGCACATGGAAGTGAACAAAAAATGTTCCGCTTGGATCTGAATGATGCGCACAAGCTGTTTTGACGTTATTATGTGCATAAAAGAAAAATCCATATCTTAGTGCTCTCCTGTATTAACACAGGAAACATTCCAGAATCCACTGTACCTTTTTTATTCCCTGCTAAAATGCATCGGTTTTCAGCTTGTGCTCTTAAAATATGTTTGCTACTTCAAAGGGAACTTTCTATTGTAATTGCTTAACTGATGAATAAGCAAGCACCCCTCATCAAGAGTAATAATGATTATGCTGTTAACTTAACCATGCCTTAAGCCTAAAATACAGAGTCCTTGGTGCTCTGGACCCCTTTTTTCACAGCCAGTTTATGGTCTGTTTGCACTGATTCAAATATCTCTGAATGCCTGGCACATAAACTACAATAGCTAACTGAATAACTGAATCAGTGCTGTAGGTGGACTCCCTGTGGCACTCCATAATGTACTGTACTGCGGTGAAAGTGAGTGCACGTTTCCCCACCAGTCCTGTGTGTATGTGACTAAGGCTTGGAGTAATGCAGATGATTTGGTGGCCTTTGAGAAATGATCTTTCATGTTTTCAGATGGGAAGAAAACTCCTCTTGCACAATGTATGTATGAATAAAATTTAATAATTTTTGGGGGGTTTTTCAAAGATTTTTTTGTGCATTTAGTTTTGTCTTCCAATCAGCCAGTAGAGCAGGAAAGATGGTAGAATATGATAATTTGTGCCATCTAGTGGCTAAATTAAGTCTCGTCCAGGGTCAGCCTTTAAATGTGTCCCTTCCTTGTGCTTGAATTAAATGGAAAAGCTGCCTCACTACTAGTGTGCAGTATGGCCCTACAGAGCTCTGCTGATGAGCTAATATTGGGTCCAGGTGTACTGAAGCAGAGAGATTTATAAAAGTTGCAGGAGCCTGGCCCTTGACAAGTGGAGTTTGAGACCACCGCTGGTAGTTTACAGATCCCCAAGTGTCTTTGAAGATGTGCTGCTTGTTTAATTTAATATTTGAAATCCACAATCCAAATTTAATATTTGAAACAGGATTTTTATCTCAGTTGATCAAAAGGCTGTGTTACTGACTGAGACCCTTGTGGATTGATCAGATTCTTACTTGAGAAAAAGAACCTGTTACTTTAATTTAGATTAAATTTGTTATTCCCACTTCTATTAAAAAAAAATAAAAAATAAATAAGTATTAGGTTCCAAACAGCTGAACTTGAGCTCATTGCAAAAAGGGAGATGTATGTTGTGGACGACCAAAGCAGCATCATTCTGTGCTCCATGAAGGCAAATAAAACTTAGGTCACTCCCGGAATTTCTATTGCTGGAGTGACCAAATGAAGGACTTTTAAGCGCAAGGATGGTATGGCAGAAAGACTTTGACGTTTTGGAAACCATAGTTATAAATTCCTTGGTACACTTTGATGCAGCTAACAAGCTATGCCAAGCATAAGTACAGAGGAGCATCGAGCAGGTTCAGTTTGTAGAGATGAGATTTAAAAAAAGACATTTTAAAATCAGAGCAACATAAAATTACAGAGGCAGTTTTGGGGGGGGAATGTAGCAATGGCCTTTTATTTCTGTGCTCAAGAATAGGAGATTTAGTGACTTGCATTTGTCTCAATCCACAGTTGTCTTGATGCCAGAAAAGCATGAAATAAACTTCACAGATGGATTTTTATCCATCTTCTATATATATATATATAAATTATTAATCCAATGTTTTGCTATGGCAGCAAAACACTGGCTTCCTAAACCTAAATAAGTTAATTTGAATGACAAGTATGTGTCAAACATGAATAACGTTAGAGAAATGAAATCTATTGTTTATACTACAGTACCTGGTTGCAGTAAACAAGAGGCAGAGTACCCTGGACAAGCACACAAAGACCAAAAGGATAAACAACTACTCATGCACGCATTCATATCTCGAGGCAATTTAGAGACCAGTCAACCTGAACGTCATCTTTTTGGACCGTGGGAGGAAGATGGAGTACAGGGAGAGTACTCAAACTCTATGTCGAAAGCTCTGAGGCCAGAAATGAGGCCAAGAGCTTCAGCTTCTACAAATGCCATGCAAGCAAGTTTATGATTACAAGACTAATAAATATAAAGCTATGTGTCAAAACATTTGTTCAGTTTAAATCCCTAATATCATTAAGCACCTTATTAAATATGCTTACTTATTTTATCTTTGCTATGCAGCAGAAACGTGCTAAATATAGAACAATATATACTGCTCAAAAAAATAAAGGGAACACTCAAACAACACAATATAACTCCAAGTAAATCAAACTTGTGTGAAATCAAACTGTCCACTTAGAAAGCAACACTGATTGACAATCAATATCACCTGCTGTTGTGCAAATGGAAGAGACAACAGGTGGAAATTATTTTCATATTTATTTCATTCATTTAGATCTAGGATGTGTTATTTGAGTGTTCCCTTTATTTTTTTTGAGCAGTGTATATTTCATATATCAATCTCTTGATCCTTATTAATTTTGAATGTTTGTGTCTTTTAGGTTTGGAACTGAAGCTAAAAGCTGAAGACTCATGTGCAACTTTGACACACTATACATATAACTTATGTATAGTTATATATATGTATATCCAAAATGTTAGCTTTTTTTTTTAACTTTCAAAAAGAAAATTCACATGCAGTCGTTTCAAATAGATATTGAAAATTATAACTGCCTACCTCTAGATTTACATAAAATTTACTCTAAAACTGGACAAAAACTAAAAACACTGCGACAAAAATGAATGCCACGATATACAAAAATTTAAAATTGGGACAAAATGAATATATATTTTTTAAAAAAAACAATTGCAGTCAGTTATTTATTATAAGAATGATTTATGTATTATGCCAAAAAATTATACTTTTAAATTTTTTTTTTTTTATTTTGCATATACTTTTGTGGAAAAAGTGTAAATTTGTAGTTGTAAAATTCACTGAAACATGTTAAAAGGCCTATTAAGTACACCAGAGCAGTCTTTGCTAACTTGTCTTACTTTTTTTTTTCTTTTTCTTGTTCTTTTTGTTTTTGGTCGCTCCGCCGTGGAAGGTGAGGGCGCTCCTTCGAGCAGACGGCCGCTTTTTTAAAAAAAACAGACAGTCTGACCCCCTCATCAACAAGCCACTTCCTCTTTTGTCTAATTTCATGGCGATCGGGAGAGAGGGAACACCACCGACGGACGCACACTGTCTCCGCACTCCTGAAAGAGTTGATCTGGGGTAAATAACTGCCGTTTTTCTCACAACTCGCGCGCTAGCGGCAAAGTACGATAAGTTGTGCTCGCTTTCGCGGCGGTTTGAATCGCCTCGCAAACGGGAGGATTTGCTCAGCTTCTGGGTCACACATTTCACATTGTAGCGCCACTCGCTGATAACAAATCGGACGAAATGGGCTCCCCCTCCGCCTGCATCTCTCCCACAGACCCAGCCACACCACACTTAACGGCGATGGCTAGCTAACGCTAGCAGCACTTAAACGCCCCACATATGTCGTCACAAGAAAAATACTTATTTTTATGAACTCGATGGTAGCAATATGACACGGAATACTTAATTTATTCAGTACTTTAGAAAGTTTTTTGGCTCTTTGTGAATGTTAGCCACTTGTAGTACTGGAGTGTTTGTGTTTGGATTAGCGGGCAGCTAGCTCCCGTGCTATGTATTGAGTTAACTTAGATAGCGATTCAGAAGTTTGTATTTGGCCTGCAAGCTACAGTGGGCACACTGGGGTAAAAGAATATTCACACATAACTTTTAGAAATTGTAAAATAACTTGAACTATGACTAAATACATATCTCTACCATTCATTAGAATTACCCCGCTGATTGAAAGAGGAGAAACAAGCTAACTAGCTTCGTCAGCTAACTACTTGGTTAACGGTACCTTATCAGTAGAAATTTTAGCAGAAGTCGTGCACAAACGTATCCGCTCATTATCACTATCTTCTTGTTTCATCTAAATTTCGGCTAGTGCCAGAATGCACATCTGCTTCCACTTTAAGTAAAGTTGCACCAAGTTAGAAAGTTTATGTAGGTTTTAACAGTAAAGAACAGGAGGCCAAAAACACTTAACCCTTGTGTTGTCTTGCGGGTCAAAAGTGACCCACTGGCATATTTAGCTGTAGAAGAAAAAATATCCTAAACGATCTTTTTCCAACTTGAAATTTTATGACTTTTCCTAAATTGATCCCGTCATTAGAAAAAGTGATACTTTGTTTTTGTTTATATTTCGATGTGGGCTACAATGTACACCACCAAGGCACAAGGATTGTCTTATGGGTCATTTCTGACCTGTGAATTATAAAAGCATTTAAACACCAGAAAGAGTTCAAAGGCCACAAACTCGCTCCTACACACACACACACACACACACACACACACACACACACACACACACACTGTACGCACACATATCAAAGAAATTGGATTGATGTGCGTATTGAAATTGCATTTGACCTGCATCTGCATTCTCAATCTGCAGCTAACCTCCCACGTCATATAAGTTCCCAAACACAACAAAAAACATTCTGAGATATAATAAAAACAAAGCAGGTATAGAGGATATCAATATAGCTGTACCTGAATACCGCTAGTTGATTCCTTGCTGACGCCAGGAGTAGATGTTTCACTGCCCAACTGGTCCTACGTTGTATGTTTGCACATATTGTCCAATATGAAATTTTCAGCATAAGAAATTGAACAAATTCTTGTGCTGAAGATGTTCAACCTAAGAGTGTCTTCATATAGTGAAGAACATCTTCATGCTATGGAGATTTCCTTGAACATCTCGTGTTGAACATTTTGTGTTCAGCGTGGAATGTTCTTCATCTTATCTCCAACCTGGGGGAGGAAGGATAGGATGATCTTTGTTTTACGTTGAAGATGTTCAACACCTTACGTTGAACAGAAAATGTTCTTTATCTTCTATTGAGGATGTTCAGCATAAGGACCTCTTCATGAGATGAACATCATCTTGTGAAGATGTTCTTCATCTTATGTTCAACACCTTAAGTTGTGAAGATGTTTTTGTGTTGAACATCTCATATAATTATGGGATAAGAGCTGATGTTAAATTGTTCACAAAATCAAGCAACATTTTGTTTTCTCGTGTTACGAGAGGTATTTTGATAATTCACTTACTAAAAAAAATATTCAGGAATGAACTTTTGACTAAAAAACTCAAAATTGTTGACTTTTTGTTCTCTTTCAGTCTAATTAATCCACATTTATATAATTACAATAATAAACCTTAACTGTGTTTAAGAAAACTGTTTTGGGACTTTTGTTAGGATGGGTCATTTTTGACCCATAGGACAAGGAAGTAAACAAAGCGAATATTGGCAAAAAATTGCTACTTGATCACACCACCTTAATCAGGAGATTACAAGGAAGTTTACTGAGGTAAAAAGTAAAGAGATGGCGCTGTGTGTGATCCAATTCTTCATATAAAAAGTTACTTTTATTGTGAAGTGACCATATATTGTAATGCTCTTTTTTTTATTTGCTAAAATCAAACAAAGGTGATGGACATATGCGTTAATGCACAAATTGAGAAAATTTAAATTGCAGTTAGTACCGCCATCATATCAAAGAATCTATAGGGCAGTTTTCTCTCTCTTTTATTTAAGATTATGTTCTCCTACACTGTAGATAAGACCAGAAAGAGAACAGGAAGTTGTTATCTGCAGGTGAAAACTTGATCATTTTGCATACAAATTTAAGCATGCACAATTCTGTATCTTAGCCAAGTAATCTTTATTCTTAGATTACCTGGCTAAGAATAAATGACTCACTTGAGCGATTCATTTTATTTTTTGTAACAAAGGCACACTGAATAATATGTGAAGCCATTTTAATGTTACTCCGAAATATCATCTTTAACATGCTCGTTTATAAATTTGATGGCGATTAAAAGAGTTTTGTTGTATTATTGCTTTATTTTGTCCATGTTTAAATCATGTATTGCTGCACTTTGCATTTGGGGGAAAAAATGTTGATACAATAAAGGTTAGTTGCATAACATACAGTGTGAAACATGACTACAAAACGTTAATGTTTGTTTATCTTTTCCCCGTTTACAGTTTAAGCTAAGTTGTCAACCTTCTTGGCACACAAGACATTTTCCAGGTGAGTTGGTATCTTTTATTATTATTTTTTTTTGTCCTGTTTTCTTTGACTCTTTTATGCATTTTTATATCTGCTCGTTTACTTGGATTTCATGGTCAACTTAATTTAATGGCTGAACCTTAAATGTTTATTATCTTGTTTTTGTTTTTATGTCACATAAATCTACGCAGAGTGGAGTATTGTTGACTAAAAGGATGCACAAGGGAGGTGTGATTGATTCGGTAAAAAAATAAACATTTGCTGAATTCAGCTTGTTTACAGAATGCCCATCATCAACAAATGCCATCCAAAAGCTCTTTGCAAGGCAAACTGCTCTGGCGTACAACTATAATGGCGTCGAAATCGAATTTACTCCAAATTTGATGAATATCAGTCCAAGTTATCCCAATCCAATCTGCTTTCCAGAGGAATCCAACGACTTCTAATTTATTATGACAGTGATATCAAACACTCCTCTTTCTTAACTCTGATTTTTTTGTGCTACTTTTAGGTGCACCGCTAAAGCCTATTTCAGCACCAACCTTTAAATAGGAAAGGAGCACTTTATGCTGGATGTTTTTTTTGTTTGTTTCTTTTTCTCCTAGGTTTTCTTCTTTTTGTGGCACAACAATAAGTCGGCAACAAAAACTTTACACAAATGTGAGGGGAACATTTGTATTTGTTTTTCCTCCATTTGAAGGCCAAACTTGGTACTGAGAGCACAATTTAACTTTGGCAGCTTAGAAACCATTATTACTCCACCTTCTTAACAAGCTCAAACATGTAACAAAAAAAGAAGATTCTGTCAACTGATTCCCACCTATTACAGGGCTGCTTCCCACAATTCAGCAGTGTCTTTTATTTAAATACATTTCTACTGATCTGTAGCCGATTTGTATATACAAGTATACAGAAAACCATGTACCAGTGAGATATAATGCCGATGTTATTTCTCAGGATGTCGGTTCATGGTGTCACTCTTTTGTGACAGCATCTGAAAGTAGCTTTGCAAAACAATTAGCTTTATAGGATTCTTATGCAGTCTTGTGAAGTTTGGAAAAAACTTTGATTTAATCATTTTTCAAGCTTTGATACAGGGTCTACTGACTTTATTCCCTATCCATTTGCCTATTTTTTTATTTTATTTTTTTTTTAGGATTAGTTGATTTGTTTATTACTTTAACAAAGTTTATATTTAAATCAGATCCTTCACCTCTAATTTGCCATAACTTCATTCCGCTCATTTATCATTTTGATTTCTGACAGAATTAATCTACAAATACTCATCACAAAAATCTAGTTTGGCTTCTTTTGGCCCCATTCACATAGAGCTGCTTTTCAGGGAACCAGAACATTTTTGTTGCCATCCAGCCACTCGTTTACACGTCTCTAGTGATTGGAGTCTTTAACGACGGAACTTTTTGAAGCCTGGTCTGAGAGTGTAACTTTTGGGAACACCCCCTGCGGAGGTGTGAAGCACTCTGCTGGTGTGAAAGCACATTCACGGAAAGCACAGCTGCAGGATGAAGTGGAGGTTAAGGGTCTAAGCGCATGCGCGTATGGACAACATGCTAAAATTACAGTGCCTTATAGTGTCTTCGCATGACAACTACAGTGGATTCGAGGTGTCTTTACAGACTAGTCAAGACACAGTGGCAC